TCAAAATGTTATAATTGGGCCAAATGCACCCCAGTCCAAAATTGTTCAACAAATACGAAGTAGGCTTGGATAACCGAACAAAAATCCAACATCCTTTTTTAAAGGGTGGGTCGCACTTTATATTTCAAAAAATTAATCTAATATTACGAAATAATTGAACCGTTCAAGTGAACCGAAAGTAAATGCAGCTGTTGTTATACAATTACATGAAAAAAAAAAACGTCCAAAGCAGGCCCTGAAAATAGTAAAGCACACGCAACACTGTCGACCCAGCCCAGACGGCGGCGGGCGCTCGGTGGGTGGGTAGCGGCAACCAGTTACCCGCGTATCGGGTATCTTTTGTTCCGGACAGGAGCGAACGCGGCAATCGCCGGCCGCCATCTTGGAGAGAAAGAAAGAGGAAAAAAATCACGACTTAAAATTCCGCACGTAGGTGAAGCCTCACAATGGGACGTGTTTTTACAATGCTATAACCTGATTATCCGGCCACCTACCCGCAATTCCGTTAATATCGCAGCGACCCACGCCTGTCACGGAGTACACGATGTCGAAATTAATGTTCGACGCGTCTCTGAAAACGTTATGCGTTTTTTATGGTCCCTCGCCCGCCCGTAGACGTTGAGCGGGGTGGTTATTTATGCTCGGGACTGTTATTTCCGAAGTTGAATTATGACGGCTCACGGTCTTTCTTTAGGCCAGGAAAATAAGCTGGGAAATTACCATTTCGCAACTTTTTATTTCGGCAAGCTGAATTTATCACTATAGATGCTAAATATTATGTACAATAACATCTTAGTTTCCGCAGTCATAAAAATGGGGGGGGGGGATTGTTTACAGGGTGGTTAATTGTATAATTTTTACGTAAATTCACGTTTTTCGCTTATAACTTTTTTCCGTTCATTTCCACGAGAAAACGGTACAGCACTTTTTTTTCGTCTTCAAAAGACTTACAAAAGTAGCCCTCGAGCGTCAAAAAATATTGATTCGATCAAAAGTTATAAACAGGAGTTTATTTATGACTTTTGAATTAAAATAAACTGCGTTTTGGCATCGTATCCTTATAACTGTCTCATAACTCACACGAAATCTGGAATCGGTAAGTTGAACAGTTTACAAGTTATGGCCTTATAAACAAATTAACTAATTATTAGTCTGGAGGATCCCGAGCATCTTCCATAATCGCACTGAATTTTTTCATGGTAGATTTCATAATAATAGATTGAAATCTATCATTTCTTTTTTATTTTCAAATTTGCAACCTGCAATTTTTTATTTTTTAGCCTTAGTTGCAAAATGAAATATACGACGCACAAGCGTGATATAGTTATATGTTATTACATATTCGGAAAACTTATGAAGAGTTTTAAGTAAAAAAAAATCGTCAAGATTGGTTGAAAAACAACGGAGTTACAGACTGTCAAAGTTGACGGCCTATTGTTAAACAAATTAGATTGGTAGCGGCAAAAAAAATACTGTCATATCCGGCAACCCGAGTACTTTCCCAGATAAAAATATTTTATTTGTGGAAGTATGTTAAGTGCATAAGAAATATTGTCCAAAGTCAGTGGGTCGCTTGATTTTCGGCGAGCCGTGGCGCGGCGGAAGGGTGGGGGGAAGCGAACGACAGCGAGTCCGAAGAAAATGACGATAATATCCATAGTCCTGCCGTTAAATAAGCGAAATTCGCTTGAAAATAATATATTTGACAGTCTGTAACTCATTTTTCAACGAATCTTGACGATTTTTGTTTTTAACTTAAAGCTCTTTTCATAAGCTTTCCGAATATGTATATATGAATAATATATAACTATATCACGCGCGTGCGTCGTATATTTCATTTTGCAACTAACCTATTTTAATTTAAATCATGACAGGCGGTTCTAATTCGTTGTTGCAGCTGTTCACGTGAGGTGATCACACTTTCATATACGCCACTGGCTCTTTCTGTCGAGCTGAGATTTTGTGTATTAGTACTAGTGCACTGTGGCATTCACCACACAAAATTTGAGAACAGTTGGTTTATAACTCTAAGAATATTATCAAAAAATAAAAAAAAATCAACTTTAACACCCTGTATTTCGGAAATGGTTCAGATCTCGAAATAAGTTTATAAGTATAGCAAAGTCCCTTTAATTTTATCGGATCTACCTTTTCCTGAATTTTTTCAGAACAAAAATGGGACACCCTGTATAAATTCTCTTTTCACTAACAGCGATCTCCGAAACGGTAAGAGATACGACTAGCTTAAATGGGGGAAAAGATGCGGAATCAGGAGACCAACATTATGTTTCTAAAAAAATCAAGGGTAACAAAAACCGAAATTTTGGAAATCCGTTTTTGTTTCATTTCAGCCTTGTTTGAGGTAATATTGAAAAACTTTTTGCCCTCTATCGATTGGCATAATCAACTTTTATATGTAACGTTTCATCTCTCCAAGACCATCATCAACTTCATTTTTTAAATACGGCCCTCGAAATTTTATTACATTTTCCCATGGCTTCCCAGGATAAACGAAACTTTTTATCAACATACTTTTTCTTTTCTTGAAAAATCAACAATAAAAAAGTTCACAAGGGTGTGGTGGGGACACACTATATATTTGTTTTCTTATTTTCGTTTTAGGGACTGAAATAAACCGAAAATAACCGGAAATCTTGCTTCGCCACGGACGACCTTGATCGCGTTGAATTCCCCAACCGGCGCATTACGATTATCGTCTTCCAAGTTCCAACTATTTCCCTGTCGGTCGCGAATAATCGCACCCAAACCCACTAATTATAGTTACAAAACGAGTGCCAACGATTTTAACGATGGAAAGCAAGCGCTAGCCAACTTTCACTCTACGACGTTGCGTCAGTCTTTTTGCCGTACCTCGACCGGGGGCTTACTCACGGCCGCCTAATCGAAAGAGGAATTGCCACCGCATTTTTTGCCGTTTCCACCAGATATTGCGAAGTCCGTTCGGCGATTACTGGTGTTGTGATACGGCTGTGTCATTCTTGCGGTCACCTTATGTAACGAATCTGTAGAAGTAGGCGATACGCTCGTTATAATTTCTTCGACAGTTGCGACGGTTGCAGCAAAAACCGATGGGTAGTCGTGGAAGTAATTTCGTCTAGTTTTTTTTGCAATTCGGTGCACTGACAATGAGTCACCGGACTAGACAGATGATGCTACGGTCAAATTTTTTCGATAGATTATTTTCTAAACCCAAATAATTTGCAGAGTTACAGAAGGATCCCTCTTAGGTGCAACACCCTGTACAATACAGAATTCCTAAATTGTGATATGGACTTATAACGAGCGTTCAAATAAAAACGTGGTCAAGTTGGTTCTGAAAATTTGGACGTAGGGCGTAGCGTATAGCAAATGAACTTAAACGTCATCTGTCAAAGCGCTATATTGCCGCTATCAATTTGGATATTTTCGTTTTAAAAAGCGTTTAAAATGGTGTTTTCTCAAGAACAAAAAGTGTTTATCATAGAGTCCTACTTTAGAAATGGACGCAAGATTGATGGAATATGGAAGTATTCTATTGAGGAATGTTTCATAGAATTTCAAAATCAATTTCCCGGCGTTGTTGAGTACAAAATTTTTCAAAGTGCAGTTCAGCGTTGTGTTAATGTTTTTCGTGAAACGTGCAGTGTAACAAGAAAAGAGGGAAGCGGCCGACCTAAAAAGCGGACTGAAGAATTAAAAGAAAATGTCCAACAAATAACGGAAAATGCGCCAAGAACTTCTGTACGTGTTTTATCACAAATGGTGGGAGTATCAGTCGGTACCTGCCACACAGTGTTAAAAAAAGATTTGCGTTTGTTCTCCTATCGTTTAACTTGTCAGCAAGAACTTCATGAAGTTGATTTTCCGCGACGGGCTGTATTTTGTGAATGGATTTTAAACAACTACGGTGAACTTCATAATATCACCTTTTTTTCTGATGAAGCATGGTTTCATTTAAGTGATTACGTAAACTCACAGAATATGAGAATGTGGTCTTCTGAAAGACCAGATAACTTTTTTGTCGAGGGCCCTCTACACGCCCAAAAAATTGGAGTTTGATGTGCTCTCAATCGAAGGAGGATTTATGGACCTATTTTTTTTTAATGGTACTCTTACTGCGCAAAGGTATAGAGAAGAAATTATCGCTCCTTTTGTTAACCAGCTGGAAGAAAACGAAATTACAAACTTTTACTTTCAAGAAGATGGCGCAAGGGCACATACGGCAGGCGAGACGACAAATATGTTGAGGGAAGTTTTCCAAAATCGACTAATAAGTCTCAATGCTGAACATGAATTTACAACGAGGTCATGTGATATTACGCCGTGTGATTTCTTTTTGTGGCCTTACCTTAAAAACACTATTTTTGAACTGCCTATTCTGATTTAAACCATCTGCAGGCTCGACTTATAGACAAGATTCGTGAAATTAACAATACCCCGAGCATCTTAGAAAATGTCTTTAATTCTTTGAGGAACAGGTGTGAAAAGTGCTTGGAACAAGGAGGGGGACACTTTCAGCAGCTGCTTTAATTTGTTGTTATAACAAGGAGGGGGACACTTTCCGCAGCTCCTTTAATTGTTTTTTATTGTTATCACGATTATTCTTTAAAATAAAGTTATATAGTCATTAACGTTATTGAAACTGAAATGAGGTTAAGTTGGTCGCTATAAGCTACTCCCTACGTCCAATGTGTCAGAGCCAACTTCGACCACGTTTTTATTTGAACGCTCGTTAAAACATATGTATGTGATTCTAGAAAATATTTTGCATAAAATTAATAGATTATACTATGTCACACCCAATTTTTGTAAACCCTCTTCATTGTTTTACCTTGAAATGTTTCGGGAAAAAAACAATTTTCAAGGGCTTAAGTACCTTTAAGCTGTCTTCTAAGGTTACAATTCAAAAAATCCTTTTCGCTATTTGTAGCCTTAGAACGTACACGTGCAAAACAACGCACGCTAATTTTCTATTCCTCACGCATGGTTTCTTGTTGCAGGATCAGCGGGCAAGTCGCGCAAACGGAAACCCAGCGAGACAGACGCCCCCTCGACCGCCAAGTCGCGCATAAGCAGCTTCGCCGGCCCCAAGGAGGACTGCGAGAACAAGCAAACGCGCACCAGGAAGAACTTAAACCAGCGCGGCTCGAACAAGAAGAAGGTCTTGGAGGAGGCGAACAACAGCAAACTCCGGGAGATCGAGGTTAGAGTCGAGGACTGCCTGCAGAGCAACCCGGCGCTCTCCGAGCTTTGTAGGCGAAAATTAGAGGAAAGCGGCGCCGAGGAGGAAGAGGAGGAGGACGAGCGGCCGGAACACCACGAGGAGCCGCCGGCCGACGGTCCGGATCCGCGTCCCATCGAACCCGCCGAGGACAGTAATGGCAGCAGTGTCGAGTTAGTGAGTGTCGTTGTGCGAAGTGACGATGCGACAGTGCAGTGTGGATCTATGCCTGCGTCACAAGTGGTGAACGGTGGTCTCAACGGTGAGGAAGACTGTGTGATAGTGGCTCAAAGAACGAGTACCCCCAGTAAGGCTGAGGAGCGGGATTGCTCTATCAGAGGTGAGGGAGGTAATGCATGTCTATTAAAATAACGATTGTGTGCATAAGAACTGGTACACACTCATAAGCGGGCTTATTTCATTAATCCTTTCCTAGTATAGCAATTGTTATTTATGACGGAGGTTTATACAGGGTGTAACTTTAATTGGGGGTCAGTGTTTTTAGGGGTAATGTGTATGCCGACACTAATTATGTGTGGCAAATACATACATGAATTGTAGGCAACCTACAGTGCATTTGAAGGAAGATAGTGCCGGTAAACAGTAACAAATTGAGGATTCATATTTAAAACGTGCTATACATATTGCAACTGGCACACTACCTACCAAATATAGGCTAACCAATACAGCATCATGTATTTCCTTTTGAAAAATACTTAGTAATCGAAACCCAAGTGATTTCCCCAGCAAATTCATGAACAATTTTTTTTAAACAATAAAAACTGCAAAAAATGACATGGTTTTTTTTATAATATCTCCAAAAATAATGATGGAATCGTCTTACTCCCAATAGGACTTTTGTAGAGAATAAAAAAAACTATAAAATGGTTTTTTGTGCGACCCGACAGGTTCATTATTTACAGAGAAAATCCGGAAAAACCTCTAAAATAGACCTTTTTTCAAAAATTCATAAATCTGTCAAATTTTAAGCTAGAAAAACAATCTTGCAGAAAATGACAGATAATAATATGTAGTTTAATCGTGCGCAAGATGGTTTCTGTCCGATGCATAGTTTTTGCACAATTACATTATAAATAAATTCACAGAGTCGGGTAGCGGTAGTGGGGGAAACAGCGAGCGGAGGACTCATTTTTACAATATTTCCCATCACCCAAGTGAAAATCCGAGATTTACAAATTGGAGATTTTGTCGTCTATTTTCAGATGCCATTTTCAGAATTTAAATCGGACCATTTTTGATAAATCGCCACGCTGTGCAAAAAAACCCTAATTTGTTTATAATGCAATTGTGCAAAAACTATGCATTGGACAGAAACCATCTTGCGCACGATTAAACTACATATTATTATCTGTCATTTTCCGCAAGATTGTTTTTCCAGCTTCAAATTTGACGGAGTTATGAATTTTTTTAAAAAAAAGGTCTATTTTAGAGGTTTTTCCGGATTTTCTCTGTAAAAAATGAACCTATCGGGTCGCATAAAAAACTATTTTATAAGTTTTATTATTCTCTATTGAGAGTAAGACGATTCCATCATTATTTTTCGAGATATTATATAAAATACAAATGTCATTTTTTTGCAGTTTTTATTGTTTAAAAAAAATTGTTCACGACTTTGCTGGGGAAATCACTTGGTTTTCATTTACTAAGTATTTTTCAAAAGGTAATACATGAAATTTGCTGTAATATTTACTCAAGTGTGCCAAAAAATCTCTATTTGGTTGGCCTAATAGGAAATATCAGAACCGAGATCAGAACTAGATGTAAAGTTGTCCTTATCAAATATCGCCTTTTCATAGGTCGTTCAACAATTTTTATTTAGATAGACTTATGACGCAGATAAGGGCCTCTTCTATGTAACTGGATATAGAAAATAAGCTACTATATAGTATATCCTGACAACTAAACTGATGCCTAGGCCACAGACAATAATAAGTATACCAAATTTTTGATTGATCATCATAATTGTCGATTGCTGTATTAGGTAACAAAAATTTGGAAAATTTTCAGTGAATATTAAGAAGTATTTAACACAAAAACGTATTAGCGGGATATTTACGGGAAGAAAAGTCTGGGAAAAAATTAGGCAAAAATTTAAGCATGTGATAGTAAGACGAAACAATCTAAGTGTATGAAACAGAAGATAACTTTTTTTTTTATTGTCACAATTTTAGGGAGATACCTACATGGAAAAAAAGTAATATTTGTGTGTTTATAAACAAATTTAACGAAGGTTGGCATTTTATATACGAGAACTCGCAAGACAATGATAGAATAAAAATATCTATATATCTAACCTATAGAAATGTTGAAAATACAAGAATTACGCTTAAAAACGCCCCTTTTAACAGAATTTAAAGTATAACTATGCTGTTTTTGCAATGTCGTTGTTTTTTGCCGATGATGTATTTACTGTGTATTTGCTACTCTTGAAGTGCTATGATGTAAACAAAACGCTGAGGCAACCATTGCAGTAATATAATACGATATACATTCAATTGTATTCGCTACAGAGGTCGTTCCAATTGCGAGCAAAATTAATTAACGTTCTATTCCTTTGTAGTTATAATATAATAAAAAATATTCGGTATACAATCCTGGGATGCTTTGCTATTGTATTTTTAATGAAACGCGCAATTCTTCACGAAGTTATTTCTCACGGTCTTTGATTATTTAAAAAATTGCGTATCGGGTTTGTCGAGTCATCAACATTTATTGTTTTCGTACTAATTTATTGACCGAGGTCAGTTAACGTAATAGAAATAGTCCGTGGTTCAATTTTCAATTCAAATTTCCGTATAATAATGACACGACTACTTCGACATTGAACAGTTGCGATAAACCATATTTTTCCATTTACGTTTTTAACATCAATATGTTTATGTAGATATGCGAGTAATTGTTAGATACTCATTTAAGTTATTATAAATTAACGGAGCTGGCAAGTTAGGTAAATCAAGTTTGCTTAACTTGATTATATACAAGGTGACTCAAAATTAAAGACTGCTTTAAGAATAGTTTAGGAGATAATGGCCTAAGGATGGGGTTGCGCAAAAATACGGCTTGCATGAGGGAAAACTTTTGTTATTTAGATTTTTTTAAATTAAATCCGTAAATAGGTTTCGCTTAAAGGAATCGCCCTGTCTATTGTGAGTAAACGTTCTAAATGTTGGACGGAATTCAACCACCGTAGCTACAACGGCGTTTTGCCCGCAGGTGACGATGACGGACCACTGGTGTCGTCCTCGCCCTACAGCAGGATGGAACTCAACTCAGAAACCCCAACCAGCCTCCTCCGCTTCCCAGACGACCGCTCCGACTCGGGCGTGAGTTCGCTGCGTTCGGGCAGTGGCGATGAGCGGTCGGGGTCGCGGTCCAGCGCCCTGAGTTCATCGGACGAGCCGAATCACACCTCGTCGTCGTCGTCGTCTTCGTCTGGGCCGGCGGTCCAGGCCATACCCGCGCAGAACAGGTCGCCGCTGTTCATACCGGCGCCATCGTCGTCGTCGGCTTCAGCGGCGCAACAGCAGCAGAGGCACGACACCGAGCCGGTGCGCGTCTGGAGGGACCCCAACCTGCTGCTGGAGGAGCCCCACGTCCGACACATCCAAAGCGTTCAGCACCAGGTAGGTCAAGTAAGTGGTTTTTCTCTATTTTTTTTTGGGGACACGGTGGATGGGAGCAGGTTTAGGCGAATATATTTAAGCTTATGGCTATATATATTCGCTAGTGCACTTATCTGCATTAAATTTTAAAATCGCATGAGAAGAATTTGTAGGTTAGTGCGGGAAAATTTGATTTTATTATTGTAATACAAAGATTTCTTGGGAAGCCGTTTTGTGAAGAATAATTTTACATAAAAGCTTTGATAATAAGAATTATCTATACCTACTTTAACAGAATTTAATTGATTAAAAGAAAAAAAAAAAACAATTTAGCTTAGAAAGCAGTTGACCTTGGTACAGTCAATTGCGTTTTACTCGGATTCGGTACATTTTCGTAATTTCAACGTTAGTATGAGTACCTTTTTTGTATAAAATTAACTTTATTTAACCTTTAATAGGTATCTAACATGCAAATCAGAAAACTTAACCTCAAAAAAAAAAAAATATTCTAACCTCTGACGCAAATCCATGGCATTTTTCTTCAAAAAAACCGTATCAAAATAACAGCGATAGCGTTGTCACAATCATAAGTATTTGGATATACTTATAAGAATCGCAAAATAAATATTCGGTATACTTGCTGTTTATTAGACGAGAAAACTATAATTACTGTGGTGTAAGTTATAGCCGTTACTGGTAAAATCAGTCGCACAATGTGAATGCACGTACCTATAATTACAATTTTACTTACAACAATGATGTATTATTTCAAAATACCTGGGAAACTGGTATTATATTTAGAACAAAGAACACAAAAACAGTCGTTATAATAGCAGGTAGCAAGTAACAATACTCCCAAGACATTGCCACGGTCATGCTCATCAGGAATTATGTATTTATAACAATTTTAACAAGACTGGTTAGTCTCCTGAAGTTCCAAAAGTTTGTGAATTGTATCAATTTTTTCATAAATTATACCATAATTAGAAAAATATTTAAATGAAACTAACATGATAGGTAGTCCGAACTTCGTAAAACGGCACGCTAGAAATACTTTAGCAGTGGTACAATTTGCTTACTTGATTTATTAAACGCAGAACAGCAGTGACCTACTTTTATAATTTCCATGGAAATGGTTGAATAATTGAATTTATTGGATCTAGCTACCTACATTTATAATAAATCTACTACCTAGTACTTTGCATTTTATTACTCACCAACTAACTGGCTTCTCCAAATCCGACCACAAGGAAAAAAAATTACGACGAATTGCACATTATAAAAACAACTAATGATTCAACTTCCACGACGTAAAAATCACGAAATTACGGAATGCCCGGCATATTTACACTTAAAAAATGACAAATTTAAAACCGAGTTTAAAACTCTAATTAGGCACCATTTCACGCTTGCAACTGTTGCAGCTGAAGAAAAACTCGCACAAAAAACACTGGAATTTTTAAATCGCGTTTCACTAATTAGAAATTAGACACCGATACTGCATCTAGTCTAGGATGATTGTACTATTTCAGGTTTAAATTTCGATTATTTCACTAGGATTCGCCCTTAATTACCAATAAAATTTATTACATTAATTACAGGTTAATTATTGAGAACGCGTCGCGTAGTGTGACGCCTGACTTGCGCAATGTCGAAGCGCTTTTGTTTCGCATTTAACTACTTGATTGGGAGTAAAATTTTTCGTAGTAGCGTCCGACCCAAAGACAACAAATAAGAAAAGAAATGCCTATGATGTTTTTGCATGTATTACCCAACATTGTAATATGCAATGCATGACGAATATTCAAAACTGAGGCATTTCGATTTTGACTTAAGGTTTAGCCGCTAATCGAGTTATCCAACAGAAATGGGTCGGCTATTTTAATATCCAAATATTACAACATTCACGCCTGTAACTCGCAATCGATCCGACACGCTGGTTTTGTTGTTAAATTATTTTAATCATTAATCAACGGCGGATATATTTTTCATGCTTTTTCGAAGCGTTTGTTGTGATGTCCGCCGTGCCGTGGCGGTTTCAAAATAAGGAATTGAAAGGCGTGCCATTGAAAACGTGTCTACGTTACCGTAGCAACAGTTGTTTAGTTTGTTTTGGACAGGTTCCATGGTGCGGTTAATAGAAAAGTAGAAAGTTTTAAAGTGATTGTCTAGCATCTTATTAGATTCCAGCATTTATATTCAATAAAAGCTGGGTAAGAATTATGTGTTAGTGTTATTATGACAAATATTGTTTTTTTTTTTCTTCCAATGAATATTTAGAATGAAAGGAACGTTTTCTCCAACTTGTCAATTATGTGGATAATTTTGAGGTTAGAAAATTTTCTGTTCTATTTAACACTGTAACATTACTAAGTACAACGTTATCATTGCATTTTACAGTGTTATTCTATATATGTGCAATATAATGTTAAATTTGACATGGGAAACAATGAGAATAGTATTTTTTTATTATATTTATAATATTAAGGTATAAGTTATCAGTAATCATCAGTAACGCAATGTTCACGAGTTTTATTTGGCATATTTTCTGTAATATTAAGAATCTTTAGATATCTAGTGATAACATAAGTAAATATTATTATACATTTTCTTGTTTACATTCACATTGGCAACAACCGTTCAACACATAGTTTATTTCAATATGATAAACATTTGTTGATGATCGCTGGTAGAAAATGCCTGTAACACTTTACGGCAATCAAAACTAAATACACTTAAATAGTTAGTTAGAGTCGCTGGTATAATAAGTTTGTAGCTAGCAAAATAAGGATTACCGATACATTTGGCTTATACTTATAATGAATGTCTGTGTTGCAGACCTTGCTAATGTCTCATCCCAGCACACCGGCCTCGTCTGGCCCGTCTGCTCCAACGTCCGCCACAGGAACCCACCCAGCGTCTCTAGGGACTTATCCCGTAGTCCCGCCACCTCCTACCCTAATGAGCCCCCACCCGTTGGGGCACCCCCACCTGGCCGCCCAGCACCTGTACCATCACCCCCAGTTCTCCGACATGCTGTGGAAGTCCCAGAGGGGACCCTACGGGGTGTCCGCCCACCTCTTGCCCCAGCAAACCGGTCATTCGACCTCGGAAGATATTTTGGACAGGGAGCGAGTCTTCGTTCTTCAAGACCGCGAAAGGCATGAAAGGATGATCAGGTGGGTGGAAATGTGAGTGATTTTTGTAACTTTGCGTAACGTTACGTTGTATTTTTTTTTCTTGACGTTGCATAGGGAGAGGCAGAATCAGGAGCTGGAGAAGCAGCAGAAAGAGAAGGAGAGGTTAGAGAGGGACAGGCAAGAGCAGAGAGAGAAATTGGAGAGGGAAAGGGAGAGGGAGCGGCAGGAGAAGGAGAGGGAACTGGAGAAGGAGAGGCAGGAGCAAGCCCTCCACAACCACTTCGAGAAGTCGCTCAGGGCCGCTCAGCAAAAGGTATTGGTTAGTTCGATTTTTATCTAATCTACGTTTTTGAGGAGCTGCTCTCTCAATTTTTTAAAATGCTTCGTTTTGAAACGTTTAAAAAGTTAAAGTAGATCAATTTCTTCCGGTACACTTTCAGCATATTATCGTTTTATCGGGAACCGTGAACTGTGATTGTTGATTTTTCAGAGGGAACAGTGGAATCCGATAGCCGGGAGGCCTCCACAGCCAAGAACGTCGAGCTTATCGGAGGACGATAGGAAGAGGGCGGAGGAATTACACCAAAGGGAACAACAGAGGCATTTAACCACTGTCAGGCAGGATGCGAGAGACCACAGATCGTATTATCCTGTAAGTGCCCGTTCAGTTTTTATTAAATTTTTTCACCAGTTAAAATTGATTATTTTTGGCTAAAAGATAAAATAATTGAAGATATTTCCACTAGTATCCTCAGGTTAACCCTAAAGTGTAAATTGAAAGTAAAAAAAAAAAATTGTTTTTATTTTCACTTTTTTAATTTTTAGACTAATTTGCAGGACATTGTTTCCGATAAAATTGCCTATGATGTATTTATGTATTTGCTACTCTTGAAGTACCGTGATGTAAACGCCATTCTGAGGCGAATAGTTTGCCGAATCAGATCGTACCCGCCAAACAGTTGCGTCAGACAAAAATATGTTATTTTTTTTTACAGAGGCCGCAAAGTGTACCTGGAAAAACCGAATACCCCCCTCCGCCGGCGCACAGCCGCGTCGTGGCGGCGCCGAAGCAACCGACGGAGAAGATCTCCTCCATGGTGCCCCAGTCCATGCCCAAGAGCGAGCTGAACATGTACGGCTACCCCGTGTGCCACCCGCAGAACTCGTTTTTCGAACCAAAGAAGTCCGACCTACACAAGACGTCGCCCAGCGGCCTGGTCGTGAGCAAATCGGGGACCATGGACAGGGAGAGGGAGATGACGGGCCAGTCGCTGGTCAGCGAGATCAAGAATTCCGTCATAGTGAAGCACGACGCCAAGAACCCCCATCACCTGGAGTCACGGGTGACGATGGCCCATTCGCCCAGTCCCAAGCTGAGGAACGAGATATTAAGCCACTACTTGCCCACGCCCACGCAGGGCGGGCAGGCCAAGGGCATGTACGAGTACAGGAGCCCGACGCAGTCGCCGCTCCACCTCACGCACCACCTCGAAGCGCAGAATCTCGGCAAGGCGCAGAGCCACCACAGGCCGACGGGGCAAATGTCCAGTCCCCACCACCAAAGGCAGAGCCCCCATCAGCACCCTCACAGCCAGCCGCATCCGTCCCCGGAGATGAGGTTCCCGAGGGGATCCGAGGCACAGACCATGATTTATCAAACGTCTGGTGAGTTTTCGTTATTAATTTATGAATATTCCCGTGTATACTTTATTAATTTTTCGTGTAACAGAACTTAAATCATGACTAGAGTGGTGCCATCTTCTTTTTGAAAAATTTTGCACTTTAGTTTTTTAAACACCCTCTATGCAAATGTTTAATGTTTTCCAAAAAAAAAGTCTGAATCACGGACGTTCAGATTTTTTTTTTGGTTGTCTTGTCATTGTCTTGTTTTCAGGCAAAACGAGCTATCCCTTCACCACGGCGGCATACACGATGTCCACGACGCCCAGCGTTTCGAACTCAAAGCCGAAAGTGAGCAGTCCCGCGCCCCCGCAGATATTCGGCAAGCCTCCGTTGGGTGGGGTTTCCGTGGTGCCAGTGTCTCGCCCTCACGAGACCTCCGCCCCCATCCAGCTGACCGCGAAGCCCCCCTTGTCGTCGTCCGTATCCCCTTCCCCCTATCAGCAAGTGTCCCAGTACCATCCGCCCCACAATCAGGCGCCCCCGATGATGACGTGTCCCCCGCCTCCCGCCCACAGCAGCCGTACCACGTCCAGCTTGGACAGATACGATAGAACACCCGGATACGTCCCGGGCGGCCTCTCCGTCAAGCTGGTCGGCCAGCAGGGCACTTCCCCGCCCTCGGCAGCGTCGGCGCCCCTGCCCATCTCCAGATCTCATGCTCAGTTCCTACTGAACCTCAGCGGAGTGTCCCAGCAAACGCAGCCGCTCGACTTGGGGGTCAGTTCTAATAAAATGGAGAATTCTTCCTCTGTGTCCCCGAAACGGAAGGCCGCCACACCTGTGAGCAATGCGAGCACCAGCAACCCCGTTTGCTTGGAGGTCAAGAAGCGCAGGATCGAACCGCCTCCGGCCAGTGCCGCGGTCCCCCCTAACTTGAGTATTTTCGGCAGCGTCAGCCAGCAGCCCCAGCTGGCCAGAGTGAGCGAGCCAAGTCCTTTAATAGCGAGCGCTGCCACCACCATCACGACGGTGGTGAACACGGCCGCTTACAGGACGCCTACGTCCAACGTTACATCGTTAATATCCCAAACCCCGATGATATTAACGGAAAACCTGCCCGACGTGAGTGTAACCGCAGTGACGGTGGAAACCATACGACCGGCGTCGACCGGAGAATTGAGTCCGAAACCACCCACCCCTACAGTTCCTTTGAGTAATAGTCCGGCCCCGGTAAGTGCCGCATCGACGCCTACTCCACCCACGAGCGTAACTCCGGGTCCTGCGGCGGACGAATCGCCCGGTACGCCCGTCAAAGTTAACATAACACCCAGCACGGTGGACTCTGAGAAGTCCAACAGTCCGGGCCCCCAGAAAACCTCTAGCAGCAGTTACCCCGTGAGGCATCTCAAGAAGGCGTGGCTCCAGCGACACACCGGAGAAGACATGGAGGACACGACCGGAGTCGTCGGTTCTGGCAGTTGTGTGACGCTCCCCATAAACATAAAAGTAACGGCGCCGGCGATTTTGAATAACACGAGCAACCCTGTCAAAGAAAACCCTGTCAACTCCATACACGCCGTAGGCACGATGGCAATTAACAGTATAAATAAAACGAAACATTTCCCCAGCAAACCCGTCAACAGAAAACCTGTGAAAGAATGCACGGTAAACGGCGACGCAAAAAATGACGATTCGTCCAGCAGCGATCAAGAACGGGGCAGGAAATCGCCCCCGAAACGCAAACCGCCCAAAGTAAAACGAAAAAAAGGGGGAGGAGGGTCTTCGGCGAAAAAGCCAAACGACGACAAGAAACGTAAAACGGGCCCGCAACCACCAGTAACACCGCCCAGCGAGAGCGGCAGCGACAGCGAAAAGGAGAGCGGCAGCGAGAAAGACAGTGATTCCGGCGCCAGCGCTTCCGCTCCGGGCAAGAAAAATGCTAACGCAGGAAAGGAGCCGCGCAAACGAGGGAGGAGGCCTAAGGGTTCAAAAAACGATAAAGGCGAGGAGCCACGGCCGAAGAAGATCAAAGACGACATTCAGCCCCCGCGTGACCCCTTTCGCAAACCTCCTGTGGGGCAATTGAAGAAGACTGGCGAGAGCTTCCTGCAGGACGGGCCCTGTTTCGAGGTGGCTCCCAAGCTGGCCAAGTGCAGGGAGTGCAGGTGGACGCCCAACCAGCGCTCCAAGAACATGCCCAACATCTTCTGCAGGTTTTACGCTTTCAGAAGGTTGAGGTACACAAAGAACGGACAACTGGCCATCGCCGGTTTCTCGGATCCTCACAAAGATGCTTTGGAGGTAAGCGAAACGTATCACACAATCGGTTTTTGCTGAAAGGGGCCGTTTTTGGCCACAAAAAAATTTTTTTTCAATTTTTTATATCCAATAACTAATCGAATCCATCCCAAACATGACCTCCCTTCTTTCTAGTCAGGATCCAAGGTCAATTAGAGCTCAGATTGATAAAAAGTGTTTTGGGTTGTGGAGTCCGAATCGGAGGTTACTTTGTCTGTATCTGGCCATTTTAAGGTTTTTTCAAGGTTGTTTCAAGGTCATTCCACAGTCAAATTGAGGAATAGCCGAGCAATCAAGTCTGAGCACTTGCTATACAGAATTTTGGGGTCGCTCAGTTTGAATCTGAGGTCAGTTTGTCTGTATCAAGTTATTTGAAGGTCGTCTCTAGGATATTTCAAGGTTAAGTTGAAAAAAGCCAAGCAATTACATCCAACAACCTTGAAATGACCTTAAACCTGATACATATAAACGAATCTTGGGTTCAAACTCGGAGACTTCAAAAATGATAATCGATTTCTCAGTTTTTTCTTTGTTTGATCTTTAAATGACCTTGAAATAACCTTCAAATGACCTGATGTAAATAAACTGGCCTTTTGAGGTCAGTGAGTTGAAATTCGAGGTCAGTTTGTCTGTATCAAGTTATTTGAAGGTCGTCTCTAGGATATTTCAAGGTCAAGTTGAAAAAAGCCAAGCAATTACATCTAATAACCTTGAAATGACCTTAAACCTCAAACTCGGAGACTTCAAAAATGGTAACCGATTTCTTGTTTTTTTCTTGGTTTGCCCTTTAAATGACCTTGACCTTCAAATGACCTGATGCAGACGAACTAACCTCAGATTCGAACTCACCTAACCTATAAAACAGGCGATTTTACTAAATTGCTCGGTTTTTTCAATTTGACCTTGAGACGACCTTTAAATGACCTGATACAGACCAACTAACCTCGGACCCCAAAATCCTGTATAACGTGGTCGGACTTACTTGCATGGCTTTTTCTCAATTTGACCTTGAAATATCCTTGAAACAACCTTAAAATGGCCTAAAACACAAACTAACCTTCGATTCCGACTCAGCGGCCCCAAATACCTAAACTCCGAGATCCTTTGATTTAATGCACTTTTTCTCAATCTGACCTCAAATTGACCTTGATACTGACTAGAGGAAGGATGGGGTATAAATAATAAAAAAAAAATGTTCTATTTATTTGTGGCCAAAAATGAATGAAGAGGGACTAAAAACCGGCCCAATTGACTCTTCCGCTTTAAAATATATTTTTATTTTATTTATTTTATAAGAAAAAGTGACAGTCCCTCAATTCTTTACTAATAATTTTATGATAATGTGACCATAATCACTTGCAGGATGATCTAAAACTGTGGCTTCCTAATCCCGAAACCCCGCCACCCGATCTGGACCTCGAAACGTCCAGATTTCTCTTAAAACAAGTGGGCGATCACTTCTGCGACCTGTTGGTCCAAGAGAAGGACGCCCATTCTGAACACATGTCTGAAGGTTTGTTTCCGTTTCGTAAACCGTCGATATCGCCAACTGAAAGTCGTTCTCATTTCAGATAAGACGGTAGCGTGGAAGAGGGTAGTCCAGGGCGTCAGAGAGATGTGCGACGTGTGCGAAACGACGCTGTTCAACTTCCACTGGGCCTGCAACAAATGCGGATTCGTCGTCTGCATAGACTGTTACAAGGTGAGGTTTCTAAAATCCGTCCGGGAATTCCAAATTCATTAGTTTTTTTCAGAGTCGTAAAAAGGGCGCCATAAAGGTATGGGGCGAGCCGGGGAAGGACCGCGACGAGTACTCCTGGCTGCTGTGCACGAACAGGCAGGCCCACGAGCAGGAGAAACTGATGCTGACCCAGATCATCGCCGGCGAATCGCTGATGAAGCTCGGCAAGATGGTGCACGAGATGCGCGAGCTGTGGAACATCGAGCAGTACTGCGCGTGCCCCACCAGCAAGGAGGTCACCCTCAAGCCCAACAACGTCCAGGCCAAGGAGATCATCAAGGGCATCCTCGGGGACAAGGTCAACGGTATCAAGAAGGAGATAAAGGACGAGGACGGTAAGTCATCGATAATTCCAATACGACTATTAAAAGAATGTTATTTTTTTAATTTTTAACACTTATTACTTTAATATTCAGCAGTACGGGGCACATATCGCACAAAAACAAGATACACAGGGTATAAAAAAAACACGGCCAAAAACTAGAAAAACAGACACCACAAAAAAAAAAAAAAAAAAGTCCCCTAAAAAGGCCCCAAAACAAAAAAGCAAACAACAAAAAATTTTTATAGATTTTATTACATACCTTGTCTAAATATGAATTAATGGACAAATAACAGACTTTCCCCCATTTTAACACAGATTTTCTATATAATGGACTTTGTTCAAAACTCAAATAACTCTTTGGTGTAAAGAAATTTGTAATTTACTTGTTAAAAAATGGCAAATTACAAATTTCTCGACAACAAAAAGTAATTTAAATTTCAAACTAACTCCATTTTGTAGAAAATCTGCGTTAGAACGGAGGAAAGTCTGTGATTTGTCCATTAATTCATATTTTCACAAAATGTGTAATAAAATCCATAAAAATGTATTGCTGGTTGCCTATTTGCTCTTAAATATGTTTGAAAAAGAAATCCGTCCACGAATTTATTGCTGCAACTGTTAAAAATTGATCATTAAATAAAACGAATAATTAGAGTACCGTAAACTCACCGATCAGTTGTTTAACAGATGTCCCGTTGGACCGCGAGGAGAAAAAAGAAGGCAGCAGCAGCGAGGAGGAAGGCAACTTTTCCACGTTGAGAGAGCTGCTGATCCGGCCGTCCCACAAGCCGAACGGGTCCCGTGCGGCCTCGCCCGTCTCCAAAACCGAATCAAAGAAGAAGACGAGCATTCCCACCAAACCCGCCGACTTGGACGATGTCATTTCCAGCGTGATCGAGGACAGCGTCCCTCAGAAAACTGTGGAAACCCCGATCGAGCCCAAGTACGAATTAAAGCACTTCGTAAGGAGGTACAATTGGCAGGGAAAGGGCAGAGTGCAGCTGCCTATTAGGATCATGACTTTAACGGAGAGTAAGATGCTGTATCCCGATACGCCACACAGTTGGCTGTGTGACGGGAAACTCTTGAGACTCAGCGATCCGTTGTGTAAAGAAAATCAAAAAATTTTCCAGGTCAGTACAAAAAAAAAATGTGATTTTCACGTTAATTGCCACGGCTTTATAAATACGGTTTTAACACAGGTTTTCTTCCAGGACCAGTGGAAACGAGGCCAGCCGGTGATCGTGTCGGACGTTACCCGCAACATCAACCCCGACCTTTGGAACCCGGAGGCCTTTGCGCGCGATTTCGGGGACGAGAAGAACGATCTAGTCAACTGCATGACGGGGAATCTCGTCCCCAACCAGCCCATGAGGAAATTCTGGGAGGGCTTCGACCACTTCTCCAAACGGCTTAAGGATGACCGCGGTCAACCCATGCTTCTGAAACTGAAAGACTGGCCGCCCGGCGAGGACTTTGCCGAGATGTTACCCTCGCGGTACAGCGATCTGATGAAAGTTTTACCGCTGTCGGAGTACACGCATCGTACCGGCCGGTTGAATCTGGCGAGTAGGCTGCCGGATTGTTTCGTTAGACCCGACCTCGGCCCGAAGATGTATAACGCTTACGGTTCCGCCCTGCACCCGAACAAGGGTACGACCAACCTCCACCTGGACATATCCGACGCCGTAAATGTTATGGTGTACGTGGGCATTCCTAAAGACGGCGATAGCGACGAACACATAAAGGAGGCTTTCAGAGCTATCGACGAAGCCGGATGTGATATTCTGACGAGAAGGCGGGTGAGGGACAAAGGCGAGCTGCCCGGCGCCCTCTGGCACATCTACAACGCCAGGGACGCCGACAAAATCCGAGACCTACTCAACAAGGTGGTGGTGGAGAAGGGCGGACGTCTGGAACCCCATCACGACCCCATACACGACCAGAGCTGCTACCTGGACGGGCCGCTGCGCGAGAGGCTGTACAAGGAGTACGGAGTCGAGGGTTACGCCATCGTACAGTGTAAAGGAGACGCGGTGTTCATTCCGGCGGGCGCCCCCCATCAGGTGCGCAACCTCCACAACTGCATAAAAGTGGCAGAGGACTTTGTGTCGCCGGAGAACGTGTCGCATTGTTTCCACTTGACGCAGGAGTTCCGCGACCTCAGCGACACCCACTCGAACCACGAGGACAAGCTGCAGATAAAGAACATTATCTATCACGCGGTGAAGGACTCTCTGTCGACGCTAAGTGCAATAATGAACAAACATTTGAACGTGAAGAGCGAGAAGGACTCGGGCAGCGAGAGGAGTAACGGTAGCGCGGCGGTGGACGCGGAGAATTCCACCAAATCGGACTCTAACGAGACGGCTTAAAACATTGTGATAGTAGACGCAAAACTTTTAAATTTATGAAATTTCCTGTGTGATATATAACTTCTAAAGAAATCGTACAGAATGTGTCGAGCACATTTTCCTGTTTTTTCTCTTCTGTGTACATACGTGTACAAAAAAAGTGACTCTTGAGTTTGGATGAAAATGCTGAATACGCACGGTTTACCTTCCTGTATGTAGACTAGTGGCCCAGCGCGTCACCACCATATTTTAGCCTATTTACACTCCTTGTTGGTTACTCGGTGTCCGCACGTACGGCCAGAACTGTGCCCATTGATCGAACAGCCACGCTAACCTTTTTTTTAACTTTTCAAGTTTATAGTCTAAGATGTCCGTTAATGATAAGCAGAAAAATGTTTCAAACAACAGTTGACAAATATATAAGTACAAAAAAACGTTTCTAAGACTTATTTTATTTCACGTTGCGAAGTTGGAGTTTTTGTGTTCCGAGTAATATCGTTGCGTCGAAAATTTGCTGGTAATTCATACTGGTAGCAACGGCAAGAATTCACAATTAAGATGCATATTTCACTTTTGGGGGGTTTTTTGTATATTCTGAAGAGATACATAAAAGTAGTTCAAACGTCCCGACTCGGTTATCGACAAAAATTGAATGGGAAAAAAAAAAACCCAAAAACCTGAATCAGTTGAAAAGCAAGCAAAAAAGTAGTTCAAACGTCCCTTGTTGGATTTTCAAAAAAATGGACTCGTTTGGGAGAAACAGGGTGTTTTTCAATTTTGACTGTTTCTTACGACACTCGTATAATTTTTTTTGCTTACGAAAATAATTTTTGGAAAGTTTCTTAGTTTATTTATTACAATTCAGTGTCATACGTCATGTTCCTGTACAACTTGCTTAAAACCCAAATTATATTTTTTGAAATCTAAATCAAATTTTCCTTTCAATTTACACAAAAAAATGTTTTTTAGAGTATAAACGTAAAAATTTGTACTTTGTCATTCAACTGTACTACTGTCCTTATTTAACAGGATTTAACTGACATTTTAATAAATTTTAATTTTTTTGTTCTGCTTCTATTCTGTATTATTTAAAATTACATACAAATTATTTTGACACAATTTTAGCAGGTTGTAAAATAATAAAATGTTAAAACGTCATCAAATAGATCGTTAAATCGGGATACTTTAAACAGTAGGTACTTTATCCCAATATTGAAACCATTTGTACCATTTGAAAGGAAATTTTAGTTTTTAAAAATCAAAAGTATACAGGGTCTTCGTTAAAAAATATATTTATTTTTGTGTTATTGTAAAACATAGTTACAGAAAATATCGTGTATGCCACTGGATTCTACTTAAAAAATTCTAAGGAAAATTTCTTTACAAAAATGTAAGTTTCACAAACAAAAACGCTATAAGGCGCCATAAAAAACGGCTAAAATTGAAAAGATGCCGTGTATTTCTTAAAAGAATCGATATATCGAAATGTCGTTTTCATCCTTCCAGAAAATCGAGCATCCTTGAGGAATACAAGAAATTCCCCATTAATTTATTTTTACTTGCAAAAAATCTATAATTGACAGAATTATAGATTGTGCAGACAAAACCTCAAATTTTTCAAAACTAAAGAACAAAAATGTCATTCGCTGTCTAAAAAGATCTTATTTATTGATTGATTGATTTCTTCTTAACCGCTAGTATCAGTTGCTAGCAACTTTGTTTTCAATTTTAAATTTTCAGTAATACTTTAATAAAAAGTGCTATGTTGCTCGGCGATTTAGTACGGTTCGGATAACTTTTTTACGTTTAAAAAAATAATGAACTTTCGTAGTCAGTATCGACGTCTTGAAACTTTGCAACACAAAAACCCGACTTCAGACGAGGACTTGGTTGTAATAAATATTTTTGGCTACTCCGGCGAGACGAGTCGGCTGCTTCAATGGGCACAAATAAATGTCAATGTTGTTTAAAAGTACCAATGGTTAATTTTAACTTGTAATCTGTGCCTGTCGAACATGGTATTTTTAGCAAAACTTGAATAACTTCGCTATTCAGTATTACATGTGGGTAAAAAAAATGTCAGACTAGTTAAAAAGTGTTAGACTTACGCAACTTCAAACAAAAAAATTATTTAAAAAACTTTTAAAGTGCTATTTCGAAGTGCCAATTCATTATTTTAGGCAAAAGCTTGGTGGCGGTTTCACGGTCAGGTGGAGAGCCCGTGTCGGGGGAAACGGCCCTTTTCCATGACTAGAAACATTCCGCCGCCGGTTAAAAATGATCTCGATTTGTTTTTTTCTTTTACAACGATGGATTTATTATTACTCCCACTTCCTTTAAGTAATGCATCGGCAAACTGTTGGTTTTTGTTTTTTTTTTTGTATATTTTAAAAATTCATGTCATCCTATATAAATACATATAAATATTGTATATTATTTGAAGGACACATTATTTATTTGCTTTTACAGTAATGTACAGTAGCATAGATTTTTGTACAGTAACGAATATCTGTTTCCTTTTATTACCTCTATTCGGAGGTCCAATATAGTTTTTTTGTACTATGTATATTATGTAAGATTATAGGTTTGAATAAGAAAATGTTTATTACACACGTCTTTGTTTAATTGTATTTCTGTTATTCCTAGTCCTACCCATAACCGGGATGTTATATCAGAGCTGCGAGAAATTATTAGAAAAAATAACACAGCCACACAAAAAAAAAATTGTTTTTTCATGCGACATGTTATCCGAAATATTTTTGCCTCCTGATCACGAATCGGGTGCCAGAATTGAGCTATCACATTATGAGAATTCCCTGACCTCAAAAAACAGGTCAAAAATTGACGAAAAAGTGCTAGGAAAAATACAAAAAAAAAGTTTTTCCTGTATTCAAATGTTCGTTCATATGGCTAAGGCCCTGGCGAACGTGAATCTGCGGTCAGAATTGATAGTTCTCTTACTAACCTAAAAAAAAAAAAAGTCAATTGAGCTCAGATATCACGAATTTTAAAAAAATTACATATTCGCGCTCAATTTGGTTTACGGGGGTGCTGATCACGGATCCGAGGTCAATGTTGCAAAATTTAAGATGGTGGATACAAGATGGTCGACCAAATCTTCAAAAAATAACGGATTCGCGCCAAATTTGGTATAAGAGGGGTTTTGGGGTCACTGATCACAAATCCGAGATCAAATTTATAAAATTCGTTTTTAAAAATTTAATCAATTACCTATGTAGATACTTCATTACCTGAGATTAAGCAGAAAACTCCTGAATAGATCTTTTACAGAAAAAATGACAAGAAATAGCCGAAAAAAGATGGTTAAAAGTGTTACAACATGATTGAGTACTCAGATTATATAGTAAACATAAATATTACAAAATGTTTCGCAATTCTGACCTCGAAAACGTAATCAGTAGAGAGCGGACAATGTGTGACTTTAACCCGAAGTATAGGTCAAATTTTGGTAGAGATGTGTACGCATTCAAAAATGTATTGTGTATAAACTATGCAAAATATAATTATTATGTATAGCAAATATATCGTATTATCCTCGCGAAGATTTGTACCCTTTATTTAAAATCCATAAATCATGTGAACAGGTTAAATAACGAGAAAATAATTAAGTTAATTTAGTTCTAAAGAAATGAAATGACATTCGCGCCCATCTCTAGTCCATCCATCGACATCGGTTGCGTTTATCGAATTCCTATTGGTCAGAATTCAAACTGCAGCCCTGTTATGAATGGAGCGTGAGTTGGACTATTCTAGCATGTGCGTCGCCTGAGGGTATTCGTTACATTGACTCCTAATTTCCAATTAAAAGAACGACACTATTTTTAACCGAACTTTATTTAATAAATATGTAGTATACAATTTCTGATTTTCTAAATATTTTATAACGCCTAAAAATGTATGTACCGTGGAATTTTCGTGAATTATCACGTAAATTTCCGATGCATACCCGACACGCCACTGCGTCATGGGTAATGTATCTAGGTTTATGAATGTTCAAGGTTAAAGTCACAAATTGTCCGCTCTCTGGTAATCAGCAACCCCGAAAAACCTCATATACTGAATTTGGCGCGAATTTTATTTATTGAAAATCTGGTCGGCCATCTTGGAATTTTGTAAAATTGACTTCGGATCGGTGATCAGCGACTCCGAAAATCCTCTTATCCCACATTTGACGCGAATCTTTTTTGAAATTTGATCGGTCATCTTGGATTTTGCAATTCTGACCTCGAAAACGTTTTCAGGGACCCCGAAAACCCCATATACTTAATCTCGAATATTATCTTTTGAAAATTTGGTCGGCCATCTTGGAATTTTGCAAAATTGACCTCGGATCCGTGATCAGCGACCACGAAAACCCCCATATACCAAATTTGGCACGAATCTGTTATTTTTTGAAAATTTGGTGGGACATCTTGGATCTACTATCTTGAATTTTGCAAAATTGACCCGTTTTTTTTGAGGTTACAAATAATCTGGCCGCGGATTCATGTTCAGCAGGGTCTTAAAATGAACAATTGAATATAGAAAAAAATTTGATTGTGTACATCCTAGCACTTTTTTGTGAATATTTGCTATTTTTTAAGGTTAGGAATTTCCTGTGATGTGATAGCTCAATCCTGACACCGGATTAGTGATCAGGACATATGTCGCATGAAAAGTACAGACAACTTATTTTCGTGTGGCTGTGGAATCGATTAACTGAATTATCTTTGCAGAAGCGTAGAGCAACGAGATAACAAAAATAGTCAAATATTCCTTATTTTATTCACAATTTAATGTAAGTTTTTTTTAATGGATCTTTTCAACCAAAAAAATTAAGCTTCCTATTGTTAGTGATGGCGTTTATCGAATGAATTCAGCTCTTGAATTACAAATTAGTAGATTTCAAAATTCCAGCAAAAGTACTGGAGCATAGAAAAGAGATATATGTAATTATGTACTGGAGCTAGTCTAGTCTGCCAACGGTTGTGTGCTTTACAAGAGAAAGATAGTTACTATGAAGGTATCTACTGTCTCGCTCTCTCGCCAAATGGGTTTGTTTGGCATATTACGTCACGTGGAGAGTGATCTAAGTAGTTCTTCTCCGCGTGACGTCATAACACGGCCGCAGAAAGCCGAGCAAATTTAAACAAAATAAAATAAGACTTGTTGAATAGCAATTTCGAGAAAATTGAAGCTTGTTTACCTAATTTATGAAAAAATAGTTGGAACGAGTGAGGAATTTATTCCAAGGAAATAGGGAGGAAAAAAAAGCCCCACGAATATGTACTTGCTTTTATTTATTCCTTGTTACAGATGATCCATGTTACAAATAATAGTTAGAAATCCACAATTACAAACATGTACCTAAGACCTAATATTATGAAGAATAACTTTGTCGTGTTCTTAAAAAATTTGACGTGAAGCAAGTACTATGATTAAAAATTAGAATGATAATTTTAAATGTAGATGAGTTTTGTTTAATGTCGGTGAGGGAAATTTGTACACTCAGCTAAAAAAGACTTTTTTTTTGTATTCTAAACGGGCTATCTAAAAACGAAGCGTCCTGCATCATTTGATTTGATAATTGAGTCATTTTGTATCTCTATATAAACATATATGGTACGATAACATTTATCTTTTAAGGCAAAGGTAGAAATTATACTATTATAATAGGCACTAACATAAAAATAACATTCTAGTTCTAAATCTAAAAGCATACAGTGATTGGCGTGTGATATTTTCAGGTTCAATCGGGTTATCTTTCACGCGGAAATTTCTCAAAAAATCGTCCAAAAATACTACTCGTGCAGTGTAAATGGGACCAACCACTTATGCCAACTACGAAAAAACCAATAAAAATAAAAACGTCGTACTACCAGCATTACTTCTCATAAATATATCTATATATATTTAAGTCGTTCAACAAGTTCACTGCCGTTCGATTATACCGAAATTTAAAAGAACCCCGACGAGGTTCCTTTAAATTCAAACACGAGCGGTACCCTTACGGTGCAACATTACAGAAAAATCACAATGCAACATCACAGTCGAACCGCATCGAATGCGACCACGATAACTTTACCCGTCCCCGGAAAAATTACCATGCAACTCTCAAATTGCACCACAACATTGCCGAACATTACAGAGTAAAACTACCATTACAAAAATTAAAAAAAAAAAAAAAAAAAAAAATGGGGGAAATCAGTGAACTAGTCTCAAGAATACATTTGTTAATGATAAACGCAACGGTTATTCAAGATTAATCCATAAAACGAAACATTTTAAGATGAGAAAGAAGTATTCAACAGCACCGAATCTACAAATCGGACATACTTAACCCCCTTGGGGGCGGGCGTCTACCTAATTTTTAGTCGTTTGTGCTCTGAAGATAGCTAGTTCATGGTGCGAGTTGAACGAGTAAACTTTACGAGTACCTAGGTGGGATGCAATTTTATTTCTTAGAAAAATTTCAAGACATTCACACGTTTACCAAATCGCAACCGCCGACGCAACGATCGCGTCCCTTTTAATTAAACGGTTTTAAAAACTAGCTGCCTTGCCCGGCACATAACATCAGAAACACAATTCTAAAACTAAGAGCGTATTTAATGTTTTCTTTTTTTTTTGTTTCTTTTTCTTTTATAGGACGTACATCCATATTTATTTAATAGGTTAGAGGTGGGCTTCGCTACAGCTATATACACTATTTAAAATTAAGAGCGCAATTTCTTTTTCGAACCGCGCGGTTCCGAAAATGTACAGCGTTATTCGTTAAGGACACGTACACGCACCGAGACGTGTACGTTTTAAATGGAAAGCGCTGTATTATAAAATACAAAGATCCAAGTTGCTCGGAACAAAGTTTTATTTACAATTTCAACGCTCCCAAGTTTCAAACATCGTCGAACTGTACTAAAAAGTTTATTTAAACCCGAGACTCGGAGACGATTCTCGAATATATAAGTTCATCCGTGGAGGACGGTACAAAAAAGAAACCTTACTAGTAATTCCTCGAATAATGGTATGTCACCAATTCTTTATAATACAAAAGTAAAAAACTTAACAGAGGACGACCACCTTAATTTAGAACATACAAATTTTGTACAAGTTCACACCTAAACAATAAAATAAAAAAGCGTTTGAATTTTTTTTGTCCGATTTCCTCCGACGGTAGCCCCCCGGTAAGTTCTCCGCTTCCCTTTCTATATATATTACATATGCCTCACTTAACCTACGCTATACAGTAAAATAATAAACCGTATCCATTAAAATTAATCCTCTCAGAAATAAACTGATAAATACAACTAAGGGAGAGATTGCTTTGCGACAAACAATTTTTTTTTTTGTAACTTTTTCTTTTCGTTAAGACAAATCCACTCTATCGCTTCCTCTCTTAGCAACTACTGGGATGTTCTGCTGCGTTATTATAAAAAAATTTCAAGAGCTATACTACTACATAACGCCCTAAATATTGTTATACACCGATACACGTCTTTCTTCCCTATGGTCGAGACAACTATAGTGAAAGGGTGGAAAAAAAAAAACACTAACTGTAAAACGTGGCGCGGGGGTGGTGGTAAGATCTCTGCCCGTACAAGAAAAATCGCAAATTTTTTTTACAGTGTGTTTCCCTACATTTATTATTTGGCAGATAAAACGAATTAAACAACAAAAACAAAAGGCCAACTTAAACGAATCGCGTGCCGGCCGATCGTAAAATTTTAAAAACGAAAACAGAACAAAATAAAATCTGGCCGGCGTGCCGTTTCTAAAACTTAAAAAATTTCCAACAAAACGCTGACCTTCCTCTAATGCGAAAAGAAAACAATTTTGATTTTACTTACGGGGTCGGTCCGGACAGGAACGTACGGCGGCCCGCGGGGAAGCGTTACGCAACATCGCAGAAACGTTTCGCACAATCACCGGAGAAATATTTCGATGCGATATTACGGCAACGTCAAACGCCGAGTTACACCAAAAAGGGGGACACAAAAAGCGAAAGCTTTGACGATTTGTTTATTTTTTATATTTTTTTTTGTTTTTCGGCGGACGCCGTACGTTCCTCTCGGGACCGACAACTTGAACTGTGAGGGTGAAGGAGTACATACAACAAAATATTTTTTTTTTAGTTGCTTCATCATATAAATCCTTGGAGCTACACTTGTTAACAATAAAAATAAAATTGGACTAAAACATGTAGGTTCGGTTAAGGAAATAATCAACCAAACAGACAAACAAAAAAAAAAAGTGATCACGTAAACCTTCCTACACACTTTTTTTTCATAAATAAACCGTATATATGCACAACGTAACAATGCCGCGCAGGGACGCCAGGGTGTTACTCAATAAACAAACGTTGACGCCTCGCACGCGTGGCAGACATGAATAAATACAGAAGCAGTGTGCGGCACGTCAGATCGTATGTCTCGAGCTCGCGGGCGGAGCTCGTACATCTATCTGCACTGAAACATATATGGCAGTTGTCATTTTGGGCGCACCCCTGTTCGGGGGAGAAAACGCAACGATACCGAGTGCCGCCGTCATCAAAGCCAAAAACCTACCTTTTTTTCTTTTTTTTTACGTTTATAAAGTAACGGAACGCAACGTGGGTAAGGTAGACATCTGTATGAGGCAGTCCTCCTCCAGGCGGGAGGCGAAGCTCCACGAGCCGCGGCTCTCCAGCCCCGCCTCGTCGACGTGGGCGGCGATGAAGGAGTGGCGACGCTTGCGTTCCTTGGGGGTGGCCGAGGGCACTATCTCGTCTATGTCGCAGCTTATCTCCGTCAGGGGGAGCTCCTCCATGTAGGTTTTCTGCAGGGAGCTGAGGTCCGACAGCAGCTGCTCGCCGTCCTGGCTTATGTCCTCGCGCAGCTGTAGGGAGGGGGGCGGGCGGCCGTCGCCTCCGCCGTTCAGGTTTAAGCACGTCTCGCATACCTGGGGAGGCAGAAGCGTTAGTGGCACGTTAATGTGGAAGTGGACGACAGAAATGCCAACTCCCTCAACTTATTTTAATCGATCGAACGTGAATTTATATTTATACAGTGTGTTCAGAAAACAGTAGTCGTATACAAACTACGACTTTCCAGGGTAAAAATAACTGATTTTAAATCAAAAAAATAAAATTGTCAATTCCATACAAAAAAATTAATGAATTTCTCTTAAAATTGCTATACTTCGAATAAAAGCTTACTAATCTAACAGATTTGAAATATTTGTTAAAACATTTAATTTTAATAAAAAGTATTGCTATTTTTTTGAAGCACTGTGTTTAGTTTGTTAATCTTAGGGTCAATGACCTCTGAATTGGCATAGTTTAGGTATTTTTGTGTCTTCATTGTTAAATTTCTGCTTGATAGGAACAAACGTTTATTAACAATCAAGGAGATTTCAGTGAATTGTATCTTGTTTATGGATTTGAAGAAATAAAAAAAAAAATTAAAAAGTATTAAAATAACAGACTTTCCTCCATTCTAGAGCAAATTTTCTATGAAATGGACTTGGTTTGAAACTCAAATTACTTTTTGCTGTAAAGAAATTTGTAATTTGAATCGTAAATTACAAATTTCTTTACAACAAAAAGTAGTTTGAGTTTCAAACCAAGTCCATTTTATAGAATATCTGTGTTAAAATGGTGGAAAGTCTGTGATTTGTCCTTTAATTCGTATTTAAACAAACCGTGCAATAAAATCTATAAAAATGCATTGCATGTTGCCTATTTGCTATAGCGCCCTCTTAAGCGTAAATAAATCTTCGAAATTTTAGGGTCACGACAAAAACGACAGTAAAAAGACTTGCTTACCTCCCCACCGTTCCATATATTCCTCAGACTCTGGCTGTCCCATTCGGAATCTACCTGCCCGCCCTTCAGCCAATCGGCGTTCCATGCCACGTTGTTGTTGTTGCATTTCTCGCAGGTCTTCGCTTCGTACTTCCACAGTATCTCCCCGATCATGCTCTCGGGACGGGCGGGATGTACCAGGCAGCCTTCGGGAGCGTTATCCATGCACGGAGCGTTCATTTTAAAAACGGGACAGGTGCACCGATACTCCTCGATAGATTCCTCGGCGTTCTCCGATTTCTGTTTGCCGCCGTTCTCTCCGACCGCCTTGAAATCCAACTCGGACATCTCCTCGGTCTGGCAGGCTTTATCGTTCTGGCAGATGCTGAACTTTAAAATGAACTCCAGGTCCGGGGAGGGGGTCGACTCCTCCAGCTTGTACTCCCAGTACTTCTTGCTCTGTCCGAACTCGGTTTCGAGCAGCATGGAACCGCTCTCGCTCCGTTTGTAATCCACCTTATCCAGGCTGTTGGAAATGACGAACGTGGCGCCGTCCGCGTACTGGCCCTGCGCTCGGTTCTCCATCTTCTCGTTTATGGGTTTGAAGTGGGAACGTTCCGAGGTTAACAGATCCTCCTTTTCCCTCTCGAAACCGACGGCGTGTCTCGAGCTGAAACTGAACATGCTCGACGTGCGGCTGAACGGGTTGAAAGCCTGCGAGACGGGCTTGGGTCTGGGGATGATCTCGGTGAAGCAGCTCTTCTCCTTGTTGTGGTTGAGCTTCATCAAACTGACGGCGAGGTGGTTCAGCAGGTGTTCGTTCTCGAAGCATTCTTCCTTGGAGGCCTTCCAGTCGTCCGGCAAGCTGCGGAAGCCTTCCAGAAACAGACTCCTCTTCCCTCGACTGCTCTCGAAGAAGCTGTTAGTCGCGTTTTCGGCGGCGGGCGTCATCGTCGGCCACGGGACGTCCTGATTGCCGTTATCAATGGTTATGGAGCTGAATTTGAAATCTAGCATGGAATCCGAGTCCGCACCCTCAACTGAAGCATTGAATTTATTATCGTAAGTGTCGTTGGACCAAATGGAGCTCGTTATGTTCGTGCCGTACGGAATGAAGTTCCTTTTGCCGTCGTCCCTCATGTTAGCCATGTTCATCATCTCGACGGTGTCGTCCTGAGGACAGGGAGAGTCCAGGAGCTCCTGAATATCGACCGGCAGATCGTCGTACATCTTCATCTCATCATCGTCGTTAGTCCAGATGTCCCTGTTAACCTCGACGCATTGGTCAAGCGTGTCCTCGATGCTGACGTTCTTCAACTTCTGACCGACGCTTTTCTTGTTATTGCTACCGAGAGCGCACAGCTCCCAATTGTTAATATTGTCGGCCCGCTCCGCGCTCCTACGACATATCCCGCTCTTGTTGCGGTTCAGATAGTTGAAGCGCGGTTTGCTCTGGTTCCTTGCCCTGATCATCTCGCCGTTACAGTGCAGCTTGTTCTCGTAGGTCGTCTGCCGGTTGTTCTGCTTGCGGACGTTCTTCTTCTTGATCGGGGAAGTGGCCGGCTTCCACTTGGGCAGCAGCGAGATCAGTTTAGAGGGCGACTGGGGACAGAGAGGGGGGAAGGCGGCGTAGTACTTCTCGGCCAACTCCTGAGGGGTAATCTTGTGCTTCTGGGTGTCCTTGAGTGCGGTCGTGGTGGATGTGGAGTCCGTCTGGCTCGCAGGCGAGCCGGGCTCGCTGTTCACTTCCTTCAGCTTCTCGCAGAGTTCGTCGACTAGAGATTCGATTTCACAATTCTACAAAACGGACAACCGCTTAGTCATTTTATCGGATAAGGGGTGTGTACACGGTGGTTGGAAATTACAGGTAAAGAATTTAAGGGGCGATACTACGCAAAAAAATAATGGTACTACTTTCTACGCTATTATTAGCTACTTTTTTGCCATTTTTTGCATTTTATTTCATCTAGAGTAAAAATCAGAGACTACGGCTGAAAACCAAAGATCTGTCAACTAAAATAAATCATGAAAGGTTTGAAGGATTTAATGACCCGAAAAATATATAAATTCATTTATTTGCTGCAGTATTTCAAAAAATTAGATAGTTTTTCTTACAAAAACATTTCGTTCAAGTAGAATTATTATCTAGAAAAAATGTTAATTTAATATTTTGGAACACTTAAAAATATTTAAAGAAATGTTTTATAATAAGTATTAAAATCATCATTAATTTATAGAAAAAATTGTTAATTTACAAATATTGTTCCTAATTCTTCCTTAAATGGTTTTGTTCTTGTAAACAATTAATGATTTGAAACAATAGAACAAGGGTCGGCAACTGGCGGACCGCGGTCCAGGTCCGGACCGCGAAAGGTAAAATACTGGACCGCCAAAAATTCTTTGAAAGTATAAATTACTCAAATAAATTATTTAAAAAATGTTTTTTACGTTTAAGTGCCAATCTTATCATTTTTTCTAGTATTTTACAATTGTGAGAGTTTTTTGAGTTCTTAATTAGTAAGCAGATTAAATTTGAGTCCAAATTAAAATAAAAAATAAGAAATATGAATTTTTTTTCTGGACCTCGTTAAAAATTTTCAAAAGTATCCGGACCCCACCTAAAATTACTTGCCTACCCCTGCAATAGAATCTTTTTGTAAAATATTTTAAAAACTTTTAACATTAAATTATTAAATTTTTTGAAATAAGGCAAATAAAAAAGATTCTTTTTAACAGAACCTTTTGAGAATTCAGAACTTTGATTTTTTTAATAGGTTTGTTTGTTCCCAATAACAAGTGTACAAAATTTAAAAAAATCACTTAAAAGTAAAACTAATTGAGAAAATAACTTTGTAGTCATGAAATTTCTAATACTGACTCCTGAAAAAGTGTCGTAGGAACATATACCATCACCACGGGTACAATTATCTCCTAAATTCTTTGCTCGTGGTTTCCAAACACCCCGTATTCGAATACAGGTAAGCATAAAACACAATGATGATTAGGTGGTCGCTAAAAAATTTTTTATGTACATAAAGGATATTGAGTTTTATATGTAAATGGTTAATAGTGTAAGCAGTTTTGTCAGCACTATAAGTAAAAGCTATGCCCCATTTTACACCAGTGAAAAAATTTTACAGTCACATGCACGAAAATTAATAAAAAAAAAAACAAATTTGAGACTGAATTTCGAATGTACAGTTAACATTTTAAGTTTTTGTATAACATTTTATACATTCCCATATAGCTGAATTTCGGTGCCAGAATATCTTATCACAATGTGTTTTATTTGATAATTTTTAATCTTCATGAGTTCGCTGAAAGTGGCAGTTCTCGGAATTAAAACAGTAGGACTTTGTAACTTGAAAGTTAATTAACGTTTACTTTTAGAGATTAGTTCAATTCATATTAGAAATAACACGGTATAGTTATTGGGTCAGATGAGAATTCACCGAGTTCTCGCAAAAATTTTAAAGCAATTTATGTGAAACTTATCGCATCTAAGATAGAGTCGTTTTCAATTAATACATAATTTTTTTCAACCCGTTTACGTCTAGTCTCCAATTCATAAACAACCAAGCTGAATGATGGAAAAACTGCCTTGCCCTCAAAAAAAGCTTTCCCAGAAGATGTTTAACTTTAATATTATTTTGAGGAATTTACTGACTTTCTTTTATAAATATTTTGCTTCTACATAGAATTTCCTCATGAAAACGACCTTATTATCATTGTTTTCGGACCCTTGAAGTACTAAACCGGTTCCGACTAGTAGCACACTTCAAGTTTGATTATGATTTCATTCCGCAGATAACACAGATAATTGCTGTTCGAGTACTTTGATTTTTGCGCAAACTCAGCGACATGACAGGATAAAAAAAAACCAAGAGACAGTCACTGGTGCAAAATAAACACAGTTTAAGAAGGCATTAAATACCTGATCAGAGGCGGACATGAGGCATTCTACAGCAGCCGAACGTTTAATCTGTTCAGCGTCAGCCTGTGCATGTCTCCACCAGTCAGATGACCTGCGGAAGCGCTTACGGCTCCCACTTGACCGTCTTACTTCCTAGGTACATCAAAACACTCATTAAAAACCGGACGCCTTACGCCAATAAAAACGTGGATTTTTTTTCGACAAAGATGGTATGGATCGATTTGAAAGAGTTCAAAAATGAAATAAATATTTCTACTGGTATAAACAAAGGTTTTCTTTCCTAAATAGTCATAACAATTAAAAAGAGTAACGACTAAGACAATTTTCTGAGTATATTCCGTTACTGCGATTACTGGTGACATAATTTATGGAAAAAGAAAATGATATGACATTTGTGCAATATTTTTATATTTTCTAGTTCTAAAAAACAAATCTCAAACCTTATATGAACCGATATACAGCAAGTTAACACAACAAAGTGTCGAAAGAAAAAAAACATATATCTAAATATTTTCAGAAATTAAAAAATTAAACTCAAATTTGTGTACACAATATTTGAAAAAACTACTAATTTGAAGAAATACTAGAAAAAAAGTTCCCCACTGGCGTGCCGTAAATTTTGAAAAAAATATAACTAACATCTTTTATTTTTGTTGCTGGTTCGGTCGAGACTTAAATTTTTCCAGGTCAAGTGTTATATTTATGTACTACACAAACAAAATTTCTTTTTATCAGAAGATATCTAGAGATAACTATTTTTTTTGCCAAAACTCACATTTTAAATCAAAAATGAGAGGATCAATTACGATGTACTCTTGTGTTACAATTTAACATTATTTCCATGAAAATTAAACACGTACATTTAGATATTGATGTCAACATATGAAAAAAGTAAAATTTGAACCTTTTTTAACAGTTTACTTGAAGAAATTTTTATTTAAAAATGCTAGATAGAACTTTTCGTTAACTATTTCTGAAAAATAACGAGTACCGGGCAAAAACAGAATATTTTACTATTTTATAAAGAGCAAAACGATTTTATTTCTAATAATATCGAAAGGTATGTTCTATCAGAAATACTTATCTCTCTGTAGTGGCTTAGTATTATCTTTAAATTCTGTGTAAGGATCTATTAAATAATTTCTAAAAAGTCTGAATATTTGTACTGTGACTGTATTAATAAAACAAACAATTGCATAACCAGTAAAAAAATTGGCAAGCTGCAGTTAGGAAGCCTTATGTATTATTTTTTTATTTAATTGCGTATTTTTGCTACACTTAAAGAGAAAGACGTTTTAAAAAAATAACCCCTTGAGCCAAAAAGGCCAGTCAATGCATCGAACTAATAAACTCTATTTTGCCTATCGGGAAATATTCCACACCAAGAAAAGTAACATTTCGATTAAAAATTTGCAACTTTTCTCAGTGTGAGAAATTTCTGGTACAAAAAATTTATTTCCACTGGTCTTTATAGAGGAAGAGGTTCTTTATTTAAAATGTTCCTTTCTCGTTGGTGTGATAAAAATACCTTATCAATTAAGACGATCAAAAAAAATGCCACAAATAAATAATTACAGTAAATAGCTTCGTGTACGTTTTCGACATTAATTAAAAGAGCGACTTCGGTTAGTGTGAACGCATGCAGTTTTAGCTTTACACTGACTGTACCTTTTTACCAAATTATTTAACCGACACTGAATTTTCTCTCACAACCTACAAAAATACCAAAAATTAAAACAAAATTGGGCTAATACAAACTTGAAAAAAATTGGGACGGTTAAAACAGCGACGAAATAAAAGCTTGTGTCCGAAGTATCTTAAAATATATTTAACTCGACAAAATTATTAATTACGTTCTTTCTAAATTATCTATAAGTTGAAGGATCTAAAAATATATTTAAATTATATCGTTTTACAAATATTCAGACTTTTTATTCAGATAAAATTTATTGTACCTAGATGTTATCTTTTATCTTTATCTCTCATACAAAAGCCGATATCAAGAAAAATGTTAAGTCTGTATCAGCTGCCCTCAGTCGAGCTGTTTTCAAAACATGTTTGTTTGTTTTGGTTCGCATATTTGCGAATCTTCCCGTCTTTCACCTCAACATATTCGAAAACAATAGCGAGTAAAGAAACGGACTCACCTTCTTCAAGCGAGAGAATTGCAGATCTTCATCCGGATAAATGACATCTACTGTGTGTGTGTGAAGCAAACTTAGGACGTAACGAGTGTAGACTACAGCATCTATACCACGAGCTTCCAACTGTTCTTCTAGCCAATCAGAAACCGCTGAAGGCATTGACACCAGTTGAGGGTACTTCATACTATTCTACAGGAAGCGGTTCGTTTTACTTCAAACGCTTTTGATATTGGAGAATACTTACAATATAAAAAATAAGAAAGAAAAGCCTTGACGTTGAGCGGTTTAATAGAGATTATATCTCTTGTAGGGGGTTCTCCGGTCACTAGCAGATTCGAATTATCAAAATACATTGTTAGAAAAGCCGCTGTCCATCCATAATTACGTTGAGAAAAAGCTTGCAATTTAGTGGTTATTACTGCACGAAATGTTCTTTGGTGCCCCCCATTGTAAAATCTGCAAAAAACGTGGTGTTATCGTTCTAAAAAAAGAAAATTCGGGTGCTAAAGTTCGCCTCAATAAGGTATAAAGCAAGTTCATAGCACTTGAGGCTAAAAATAGTACACCAAGGGCAATGATAATGGTGTACATATACCCGTGTTATTTTTTATGAACAGCCATGCTTAAATTTTTGGTAATTGTTCAGTTTCATTCGGCGACTATTAAATTTAGAAATTCGTCACGGCTATTTTCTAGCCAATAATATTTTAACATTTTCTAGAATTTTCGCAAATTGGACACCCGAAATGCATTGTTCTTAACGACCACATACACAATTAGTAAAGGAAGGTCACAAAATTCATTATCAACGTATTTTTGCAACAACAAATTTATGCGTACACTAACTAGCAAATCTGATCCACAAAACTGATCATCCTCGTAGACGTACCTTGGCTAGAAGAGTACAATGAATTCGCGAAGATCACAAGAACGATTATCACAAGTAACAGTCACGTCTGATTAAAATTATCACAGCCTTTGTACGATCAGCTCTACGAGCCTTTGTAAAAACAAACACTACTCCGACCGTAGAAAAATTGTTAAATGCGCCATTGCCATTGCATTGCACAATGAAACGTATCTTCGTCCGTTTGAATAGGCGGTACTCGACAACACTAACGCGTAAAAATATTTCAAGACGACACGTAAATAGTTTATAAATAAATTATACGTTACCTTCAACAGCGGGGTAGATGTTAAATCACAGTATTTCTTCAACACACCCCACGATTTAATAAAACATGGCAGCTAGGCGCTACGGCCACTGCCAATCAGAAATAATCCCGCTCAAACTGCGCTTGGGCAGAGCGGGCCTGATTTACGCGCTTGCTCCAAAGCTATTTTATTGACTTTCCTGGTATTTGGGATTAGAAATTTTACAAAAATATGCCAAAGGCAAACATTTTTAAAATGTCATTAGTAGTTTGTTGATAAGCAGGTATTTGTTGTGATAGTGCTCTGAGGAAACAACGACCTTCGTAAATCACTGATTAATTACCACCAAGGCTATTGGATATACACGTGGATGTGACATTTCATTACATTTCATAACACTAATTTCTTTTGAGAATTCTTTGTTGCGTCATTCGCAGAGTTCCGCTAAATTGAAATGCAACTATTCGTATTTCTGACATGCCGTTTTTTCCAATCAACAAGGTGAAAGCAGAATTAAGAAGAAAAAAATCTACTGCTTCGTTGAGGTGGAACGGACGTTGATTTGAAATTTGAATAATTTATGATGGTTCGTAGTCAGGAATGTCGTAGGGTTATTCGTATTCTAAAGTTGGTAGTTGAACTCACAGAACAGATGGTGCTCTGTGGTTGAACGTCACAACATGATGTCATTTTTTCATTCTATTTTATGTATCGGAAAATTTTTATGTCATCTAAACACACAGATCTATTAACGACGAACAAAAACTTGTAATAAATTAATGGCAAATTCAATAATCTACCCGAATCATTTTTAGAGTAAAACAAGAAAGAACAACTTAAAAAAATGTATGTTGTCTTACGATCACCTCACATTAGGCATACACGTTCTAGGCTTTTAAAAAGTGAGTTGCATATATTTTATTTTAGGTTAGACGATCGTGACACTCATTCCGGTTATTATATAATTTGTATATAATTCTATCTTTGTTTGTTAAATATAAATCATTTCCAGGTTGCCGATATTATCACCTAAATACGTATTGTTTCTGCAATGTAAATTTAGTTCGAATAGTCAACCCGAGCATAGTGGAATCCAAACGACTACATTCGATAAGTTCCCACAGTAATTCATTATTTAATAACGACTGCAAAGTATTGACTAGTTACTGTAGTATTTACAAACATGATCTGGTGCGACACATTACCATTTCTAGTATAAGATTTGACAAGGAGCCCCTCAAACCATCCTCAAAAGTCGAAGTTACTGTTCAGGAACTAAAGAAAAAAGAGGAAGAACTGAAAGCAAAGCCAACAGAAGTCGCAAAACCTGTAGTAAAAAAATCCATAGTACAAAAAGTATGGAACGAACTGGTGCACTATTACCATGGCTTTCGACTGCTGTTCATGGACGTGAAAATTTCATCTGGCTTGGTATGGCGGATACTCAATGGCAACACATTAACCAGGAGGGAATACCGTTTATTAACTCGAACTGTTGGGGACTTGTTCCGACTAGTTCCTTTCTCAGTTTTCATCATTGTACCGTTCATGGAATTACTTCTGCCCGTTTTTATAAAACTGTTCCCGGGGTTGCTTCCCTCTACATTCCAAACTGCCACAGAGAAGGAGGACAAAATCAAGCAAAACTTGAAAGTCAAACTGGAAATGGCCAAGTTCTTGCAGGGTACTCTGGACGAGATGTCCGTCCAGCACAATGATAGATATTCGGATAGTGCTAAAGAGTTTTTGGAGTGGTTTAACAAAGTACGAACTTCAGGTAAGACGAAAATTGGTATGCGCCATTTAGGACATTGAAATTTAATTGTTTTAAATCACACTTTAGTCAGTAGTTTGTTTTCATTCTCGATTTAGCGTTATATTTATTCATTTTTAACCGTCGGTTCAAAAAAATTGCGGTACTTAAATTTTTTAAGAAAACAACCATGCAACATTGAAAAACATTGAGAAACATGTTGATTCTCAATAATTTTGTTAACAAGGACATTGTATTTTTCTAATTTCATGGCCTACTTATAACTTTTCTATTTGTAACATTACATAGCCAACTTAATAAAATAATAATATTTATTTATTCTGAAAGTTGATGTTAGATATAGGGGGTAACTTTGAATTGAATGGGGTTCATATTTATATGGAGGCTACGTTTGACCTTTAGAAACAGATATCAAGTTTGTTTTCTCAACTTCCGTTGTGAAAAGTTAAGTTTTTTAACTGTGTTTCTGTAATTTTTAGCCGTTTGTCTTGCCCACTTAGTACTGTGTTCTCATATCACATCAGGTGGATTGATATTGTGTATTTCACCTAAACGAGATGAATGTTATAGGTCGTTGACACTGAGATTCACAAACTAAACACAGTGCTTGCAAAAATAGTAACAAATACTTTTTATTATAAACTAGAAATGAATTTAAAAAAAAAATTAAAATCTATCAGGTTAGCATTTATTTATTATGTACATTTATAAAAAACTGCAATAATAATTATTTTAAAACATGTTGCGTTGTTGTGTATATCAAACCCTCAAAATTGCTATTACAGGCGAGCTAGTTTCGACAGAAGAAATCATGAAATTTTCCAAACTGTTCGAGGACGAAATAACATTGGACTCTCTATCCAGAAGCCAGCTCATCGCCCTGTGTCGCGTCTTAGATGTACAGACTTTAGGCACAAACAACTTCCTACGTTTCCAACTTCGAATGAAATTGAGATCTCTAGCCGCCGACGACAAAATGATACAAAAGGAAGGTGTCGATTCCTTAACGTTGGGAGAAATGCAACAAGCGTGCCGTGCGAGAGGCATGCGGGCTTACGGAGTGAGCGAACAGAGACTGCGTTCGCAGTTATTACAGTGGTTAGATCTGAGCTTAAACGAAAAAGTGCCCCCGTCGTTACTTCTCCTGTCCAGCGCTCTCATGCTGCCAGAGACCATTCCGACGAGCGACAAGCTTAAAGCTACTATATCCGCGTTGCCGGAGACTATCGTCAAGCAAACGCAGGCTGCGATCGGCGAGAAGGAAGGAAAGATCGACAACAGGGTCAGGGCTGAAATACTACGTGAGGAAGAGAAGAAAATTAAGGAGGAAAGAGCGGAGCAACGCGAAGAAAAGAAGAAACTGGAAAAGGAGAAAGAGAAAGACAAAGAAATCCTCGTGGACAAGGCGCCGGTTATTTCAGCCACTACGACACCTATCTTAGAAGATACGGCCATGAAGATAAGTGCCGAGAAGTTGGAGAAGGTCGAGAAGAAAGAGGAACACTTACAATCCAAAGACTTCGAGATTATCGAGCACGCCATTGACGCCGTCTCGAAAGAAAAGAAATTCATTGTCGAAAAGGAAGAACTTCAAGAACTCAAAGCGGAAATGGCCGATTATAAGGAAGACGTCGAGGATCTGGCCAAGGCGGTGGCTTCACAACCCAAACCGGAAGTCAAGGAGACCAAAGCGGCGAAACGTCTGTTCAAGAGCGTCAACAAGATGATCGACAGGTTGGACAACGTACTGGTGGACCTGGAGAAGAAGGAGAAGCAGCTAAAGAAGGATTTGGAGATCGAGGCGACAGACAAGAAGAAGGAGGAGTTGTTGCAGATAGACGACATCATTTCGGCTATCCACAAGATAAAAGATATTCCCGACCAGAGCAAGGTGGACCAGATCAAGAATCTTCTGAAGAAGATGGACGCTGATCACGACGGGTCTCTCAAAATTGACGATGTCCTGAAGGTGAGTGACAATATGTTCCGTTTGACTTACTTCGAACACAGAATGACAACGTAAACGATTATTTCATAAGTAATTGCATGAATAGTTAAAAAAAATTGTGATTTAAAAAAAATCGAAAATTAATTTCATTTTTTAGAAAATTGCTCATTTTTTATTTTTTTAATTTTCTTTATTTTTGTATTCGTTTTATTTCTTGAAAATAATTGCATTTGGTAAAGTAATTTATTAAATAATTTAAATTATTCATATCGACGGGCGTATTCCAAAATTAAGTACTGAAAAAGTGATTTTTTAAGTATTACAATGCTTTATTCGATTATAATTATTAAAGGTTTCCTTTATTAATTGATTAAAAAAAAAGGGGGGAAATAAACTGTACCACAAGTGTCAGGCAGAAAATTATTTATATTCTTGGATTAATTAAATTCTTTCAACGATAATTTTTCTGAAATGGGGAATATTTATTATTTTGAAAGTTTATATGCGGCTCGAAAGACCAAATGGTGAAAATTACCTAAAAAGAGCTCAACGATGTCGACTCGATGTTGTGCTTTTTTTTAAGTATTACAATGCTTTATTCGATTATAACTGTTACAGTTTTCCATTATTGATCGAATAAAAAAGAAAGGTTTGTTTTGAATTAATTAATTAAATTCTTTCAACGATGATTTTTATGAAATGGGGAATATTTATTATTTTGAACGTTTATATACGGCTCGAAGGACCAAATAATGTGTATGGTGAAAATATAACTAAAAAGAGCTCAACGATGTCACTTAGACTGGATGTTGTGCTTTTATTATTACAATGCTTTATTCGATTATAGCTGTTATAGTTTTCTTTTATTGATCGATTAAAAAAGAAAGGTAAATAAACTGTGCCACAAGTATCAGGCAGAAAATTATTATTGTTTTGAATTAATTAATTAAATTATTTCAATGATAATTTTTCTGAAATGGGGAATATTTATTGTTTTGAAAGTTTGTATATGGTTCGAAGGACCAAAAAATGTGTATGGTGAAAATATACCTTAAAAGAGCTCAACGATGTCACTTAGACTCGATGTTGTGCTTTTTTTAAGTATTACAATGCTTTATTCGATTATAGCTGTTATAGTTTTCTTTTATTGATCGATTAAAAAAGAAAGGTAAATAAACTGTACCACAAGTATCAGGCAGAAAATTATTTATTATTTTTTTGAATTAATTAAATTCTTAAAGCGATAATTTTTCTGAAATGGGGAATATTTATGATTTTGAAAGTTTACATACGGTTCGAAGGACCAAAAAATGTGTCCGGTGAAAATGTTATTCCTAAAAATACCGTAACAGTGTCACTTAAACTCAATGTTGTGCGGGGTTCTTTGTAGGTTGTAAATTATTATACAGGGCAATTAGAATATTTTGTGCCAATAGATTTTCTTTAAAAATCATGATTTTAATTAATAATTTCTTTATAATTTATATAATAATTTAATCTTTCTATTTTTGTTTAATCCGAATTTTTATATTTCTATTCTCATTAACTAAATTGTGTTAAATGTATTAGAAAGGAAGTTACTGTGGGAAAATCAACAGCTGATTATCTAAATTGACATTGTTTATTTAGTCTGTACTCATTGCCCTTATCTATCCGTTTAACCTTGAAGCTCCCGTCCTCATTAGCGGATTATTGCCACGCTGTGTCTGACAAATATTTGTCAGGTGATTTGGATCCCTCGAGTTTTACGATATTTATTGCTTTACCTGCTTTATCTTTACTGATAACAATATGTAGATGTTACTTGATATATCCCAACGATATCACGGATGAATCAGTTATTTGTTAATTTGTACTCAATTCATATAAATAATATTTGATACAAAGGATGTTAGACTTTAGACGCGAGGAGAGTAAATAATGTTTCGTATTGTCTGGACATGCAATGCACTGGTGCCATTAAATTCTTGGATAAAGATAAGATGTTTTTGCAGCGTTATCAATATGTTGTAGATAATACATAAAAAAATTAATAGCAGCATAAATGTATAAATCGTTTGGGCTCGACTTACTTCCTTGCACTGAAATTCACAAGCTAAACACAGTGCTTCAAAAAATAGTATCAAATTAAAACCTTGAAAAATGTTTCTGGAATTTTTTAATGGGACTTCGGGTCTTTCTAAGTTTGGCCGACAAACACAAATATGAGAATGTAATATTTTGAGGAATTTTTTTTCAACTAGGAAAAAATTGCTATTTTCAATATATTTTTCTTAGGTCATCGAAATCATCGGAAAAGAAAACGTGAAGTTATCGCCAAAACAGATGGAGGAACTGATCGATCTCGTGGACAAGGAGGGGATCTTAGAGGTGGAGGACAAGATCGAGAAGGCCTTACAAAAGGACAAGGAAGCGAAGGATGCCGAGAAAGTGGCGGAAAAGCAACCGTCGGAGAGTAAAGCAGCTGCCCCGGCGGAAGAGAAAGCGAAAGACAAGACGGACGAGTCGCAGAAGAACCCGCCCTCGTCGAAGCCAAAAATGGACGCGCAGAGTATATTGACGCCACCCCCCAGTATTGATCCGAAGTCCAAGAGCGACGCCAGTTCTAAGATGCTTTAATTTAGATATGTTTAATAATATTTTTATAGAGGGAAAATATTAAATTATTTTTTTTTATTTGCAACAAAGTCGATGTAAATATTTTTCTCTAGCTGTGAATGAAGTGGTGAAACAATACATGCTGTTTTTACTTTGTATTGGTCCTAATTGCATTATTTAGCGTTGCGAGTTTTTCGCTAATACGTAAGAGATGTTTTTTTTTACACTGTACTAATTATGTGAAGGTTAAATGTAAGTCCAGTTTAAAGAATCCGAAAAGTACAGGGACACATTCTTTGCCTTGAATTTTTTAGCTTTAAACAAGAAAATGTTGCGAAATTTTTGGAAACTCGATTTTTATTGTATGATAAAAAAATTCTCGACACTGAGTGTGTAGTTATGTAACTTTTACATTGTATGAATGTTGTAGCCTGAATTAATTTATTGTTGTTGAATAAAAGTAATATTTTCCAGGTTTTTTATTAAGTTCCTTATTTTTTAAGAGGGCTCTGTAGCGTATAGGCAACCAACAATACATTTTTACAGATTTTATTACACAGTTCGTCTAAATCTGACTCCATGGACAAATAACATACTTTCCTCCATTCTAACGCAGATTTTCTATGGAATGGACTTGGTTTGACACTAAAATTACTTTTTGGTGCAAAGAAATTTGTAATCTACGATTCAAATTACAAATTTCTTGACAACGAAAAGTAATTTGAGTTTCAAACCAAGTCCATTTTATAGAAAATCTGCGTTAGAATGGAGGAAAGTCTGTTATTTGTCCATGGAGTCATATTTACACAAACCATGTAATAAAATCTATGAAAATGTATTACTGGTTGCCTATTTTCTGACAGTTATGCAACACACCAACCAAGTATATGTGTTAATGTTCCATATGAAGAAAAATATACTCGTAGAAATTAAAAAATATACTCGTATGCTTAAAATTTATTTAGTTATTTACGTCTAGGTACATAACTAATAAATTATTGTTGAATAAAAAAAGTAAAAGTTTCCAAGTTTTTTATTAAGTTCCTTATTTCTTTTTCTATAACTAATAAATTGTTTCAACACTTAGTATACAACATATATTGTTCATTAATGATGCATATCCCTTTAATTTACATACGAAGAACAAATATTTTCTTGGGATTCTCATCTTCCCTGGAACTTTCATTCTCTTAGGAATTTCGCCACGTCTTTTCTCTCGTCTCCCTTTTCCCTCACATTTTCGAGAAAACGTTCTTAGATGATCATACTGGCTATATTTTTCTTATAACACGTTAGACTACATAGCGGCGCCCCCGTTTGCGCGCATGAGTACTTCTTAATATTACCGCAACCCATACTGCAATATTTTGCTTTGGCTGGTTTCGGAGCGACCTGGGGTTTCAGCGGGTAATCGTACTCCTCAGGAAAAGACAATAACGTCATGTCTTGGTTCTGTCTATAAACGATAGAGGGCACCGCAGACTTTGTCACTTTCAATTTCGCCTGTTTCGCGGCTTTTGAGTCTTGCTTCTTGAGGAGCCTTTCCATCGTCTTCTTCTTGTCTTTCTCACGTTTCTCGTCGGCTAGTTGTTTACGTTTCAGGGACTTTATCGCTGCCTTTTGGATCGCCTCTGCAGTCATAACTTTCTCCTAAAAAAAAAAGTAAATTCATACTGAATTATAGTGAAATAAATTCTCACCTTATACCCTGTGGGTAACGACATAAGGGTTGGGGTAGTAGAGGACGAATTTCCTTCCACCCCTCTATCGTACATAGCTCTTTGCCTAGCTGTCATCAAGGCAGGATCTTTAGGCTTAATTTTCTTCAGTTCGTCATCTACGTCTTCCAGCTTCCCCGATTCTATAGCGGTTAACCACCTCTCTTCATCGCTTGAGGCACTGTCTCGTTTTTTTCGCTTCTTGTTGCTGCTGCTAGAGTTGGGTGTACTGAGAGTAGGTTTGTTGATAGGTAAAGATTTTGCTTTTGGAGTGACGACTACAGGTTCATCGGCAATGACCAAATCGTTCGATGAAGACCCATCTTCAGAGAGGGTAGTTTTTGTTTTTTTCTGTTTGCTCTTTTTCGATTTCTTTGGTGAGGATTCATCTTGATCTTTAATGTGAAAGAACACATATGAGTATTTTTATATTTGTAATCTTGACACTTTACTTACCCATAATTTAATCCAATCTATGCCCAAAATTTAAAGTGAGGTTATGTTGTAATTTGATTGGCTTGTCAAAGCGACTGGGGAAAACAGTGATGCCAAATTTGTATAATTTTTCTCAAAAAAAAATTACACTTAAAGTTGAGTTTTATACTAATTTCATGTTTTTTAATGATTATTAGGTAGATTAAGTATTATCTAAGTTATTGCATTAAATAGTTATTATTTAATTACTCGAAGATTTGAGCCTGAGGTAAGTTAACCTAAAAATTGTTGCTGCTTTTAGATACTAAATACCAAGGTTGATAGAGTAGAATAGGTGTTATCATCCATAAGTTTATCAGTTGTTACGTCATATATTTCAAAACTTATCTAATCGGTTCGGATTTACCTAATATTGTCATTAGATTAAAAGCACAATTTGAACGTATTTTTTTTTAGGTAACTGAATATGTCGGATGTGGATATGTTTGAACCTCAAGAATATAACGCCGGAAAACCTATTAACCTTGAAGACAGTGACGTGCCCGGAACATCTACGATAACAACGAAGGAAAAACTTTGTGAAACAAAAAATAAGGTGGAAGATAAAATAATTCTTGACCAAAATTACGATTCTGATTGCCAAATACAAATGACCAAATCGGGCACATTTGGATATAATAATCCGTTCGTATATCATCACCTGGAGGAAGTTTTGAGGTACTCTTTAGAATGTTTCCCCAAAAATAACAACATACACTTAATAGGCGTACATTTATTCAGCAGTAGCAAGGGACACTACCTACAAAAACACTCTGACGATAAAGTGGTGTTCCCGCTGGATTTCTACGTAGCTGATAGCATTCCAGAGGAAAATGAACTGATTTCAGTATTTGGTTTCTTAGAATTAAAAAATTCCGTGCCGATATTCATTGTTAAGTTTTTTAGAAGAGAAGTAAAAATTGTCGCTAATAAATACATACAAATGTTATTGGAGATGCGGAAATATGTGCCAAGTGATTACTTATCGACGGTATCTAACAGTACTATCGAATAAATCTGTGTTTATAAATAATAAATAACGTAATAATTTTTTACCAGTTTTTTTATTGTACCTTGTCATGTATCATAAAAAAAGATCTTCTAAGGGGTATGTATTCAGACAGACGAAATAAAAAGTTAAAGTATATTTTCTGATAATCTGTCAATAAGTTTAGCTTGTGGTGTTTTACATTTTATTTATTTATGACAATAATATACAATAATAAACGAAAGATTTTAATTTTTTACAGAATTAACGGTAAAATAAAATAAATACACTGTGTTCCGGTTGTTGTCGGTAGTGCCCAAACATTAAATGTTGATGTTCTTCAATGTTGACTTCTGGTGTTCGAATGTTGTTTGTTGGAAAAGCCGTTAATTGTCCTTAACAGCATATGTTCAGGTAACTACAGAAGAAAGAGATCAATTACATATCGAATTTCGCTTATACAAAAATAAAAAGCAAGATTTGAAATTATGCGTATGTAAACGAACACCTGTTTTGCAAAATAACGGTTCTAACAAAATGTTCATGTGTTTAGTGACTGAAGAAAACATAAGTAAAGTTAGTAAAATATTTTAAATGGATTATAAAATTTTGTATAAGCTACAGCAGGTGAACATTTTAAAAAATACACAGTGGCGGGAACGGGAAAAGAGACTGGACGACGGCGCACCTTTGGGCGGAGCTATTTCGTCGGGATAAAAAGCAAGTTTTTAGATATTAGACCAACACAACAGTGAAATAATACTTAATAATTGTAAACTGTTGTTAAAAAATATAGAATATTTAATTAATTGTAAAGTGTTTCTAAAAACAAAAAATGCTCGTATTAATTTCTTTTGCAAGAAGCTGGAAAATTGCGGAATTATTCTCGGAAGCTGCGAAAGCGTGAGCTGTTAGGCGGAGCTGCTACGTAGATGGCGAGCTAACTAAAAATATCTACTTACTTAAAAATAAAAAACTAAATATAACTTCTTACGCCATCAATTTTTTGAGGAATGCTGCAAATTGCCAAGAAAACATCATTTACATAAGTGATACTACCGACCTAGTACATACATATATACAGTTACCTCTGAAATAGGAGGATTTCATTTACAAAAAGTAAAAATTGCAAAAAATATATATCAAAGATTTTTTAAAAAAGGGGTTTCTGTATTTATCGTATACTATAGTTAATCTGGTTTTATGTATTATATAAATAAAACATTTTTGGAAATGTTTGTAATCACAAACTTACACATTTTGAGGCATTTCAAAAAGTGTAATTTTGAAAATGATATTTATGATTTTTTTTTTTGCTTTAAAAACAAAAGTAATAACTTACGTTCGTAAGGGATGAAACCATCGTCATCCTCTTTGTCCATACAGTCAGCAAGGACTTCTTCAGTTTCAGGATCTGACAGCCTTTCGCCTGAAATATTGAATATATTCGATAACATTATTTAATTTAAAAAAAGCGACAAAAAATTCTGGGATTTTACCATACGAAACCATCGCCTTACTCACCAAGGGAGAGAAGTGTGTGAGCAAGTTCAGCAGCCATCATTTTACCATTCTCTTCTTTGTCGTACAATTTCAAACATTCCAAGAAGTCGTCGAAGTTACCCTGTTCTTTGTCTTTTTTCACTTGGCTGAAGATAGGAAGGAATTCATCTACTTTAAGTTTCTTTTCGTCTGCAAGCAAATACATTCATAGAATTGTTGCTGGACGGCAAACAGACCGTTAACTTACTCTTCTTTTTGGTACCACCCAGTTTCTCGATTGTGGCGAGTGTGGGGTTGAGGTTAAGGGCGCGGAGCATGTCCCCAAGGTTAACAGCGTCGACTGTGCCATTTCCTTCGAAGTCGTAGATGGAAAAGACGAAGTTGGCCCCTGGAAACGGAAGATCCGGTGTAAAAAACGATGATACGGGAGAGGCAGCCCGCATGAGCGGACTTGCCTGCCTTTCTAGTCACATAATACAGGGTGATTCACAAACGGCGACCAAAAATGAAAGCTCGTATTGTTTGGTGAATTGTAGGGGTCTTTCCTATAAGTTTTTATCAAGGACGCTTCGTTAAATAGATACAGGGTATTTACCTTCAAAAATATTTTTAATTTTTTAAAATAATTTAAAAACTAGTAAGTCAAATAATTTGGAATTGGGCACATGTATTTATGTAAACATTGTCCAAAATCTGAAGACTTTTCGTAAAATTTAGATGCTCCAGTGGTGTAGATACAGGGTATCGGTGGCATATTGGTTTAATTTTTGGTCACCATTTGTGAATCATCCTGTATAATATAATTTCGAGTAGTTTCAAAAGTCGGCTTGAAACTACAAAGTCCTTTTCCGAAGACCGACCGCGGATTATATTAAGTAATGCAATAAAGCAAAAAAAGCAGAAATGAGACCCAAAATGAAAATATGTCAGTTATTTGGAATAAAGACGAAAATGTATCATGCTGCTTATTTGCGAAGAAAATTAATTTATTTTTGTATTATCTAAATATTTTCAAATAAGTTTGAAATGTACACGAAAAGGAACTAATTTGGAAAGTCTTACAATAAGTCAAAATTTATTTTTGATGAGACTGAGCCAACTTCTTAAAAAAATGTTGGGACCTGTACAGGAGGTAGTCTAATAAAAATATATAAATATACTCGACTATAAATATCAATTAATTAACCCTTAAACATACTGATTAAATTATAGGAAAATTGCAATGAAATAAAATAAAACTGGAGCTATTCTTTTTTTTTAAATGGGTGACTATTATGACGACCCGTAACTGAATATTCTATTTCCGTCCAGTATAAATCTGTGTTAAATATAGACCCGTTCGAACTGTTGTAGCCCCGATTCCATCCCATATATGATCCCGCTTAATTTTAGAGGATAGTATTGCATATCTTCAAAAACCAGTTAAACTAAAATAGATTTTTACTTACTTTCGACGTCTCTGGCACTAAGATCAGCCTGAAAAACGAATTAAACAGGAATTAGAAAAATTTTGATGTAACTTAGACGGGCTTGAGAGAAAAACTGACTGTTTCAATTAGCGTTGTTCTCTCAATTTCACAGGATCGTAACAAAAAAAACTTTTCCTACATTGTGTAAGCAAATTACGTGAATTCAGTTTCAAAAGAGTGGTGAAAAAAAAACATTTCAAAAGAAATTCAGCTTTTTTTTGTTATTCGCCTTTACTTTAACAAATCGACATATACATTATTAGATGTATTAAATACAGATCTATTTGTACTTAAAACACCAATTATCTACTACACAGGTATTATTTACCACAAAAAAAAAAAAAGAAAAAAGACGGCACAGGATTAGGACATAGATCATACTTGTACATATTTTTAAAATTGGTTAAATATGACAATGCAGTGCAAGGCAAGTTAAAACTGACGCTACATTAAATTTAAATCAATCAATGTTACTATAAATTAAATTTATAATAATTCCTTAACAAATTTTTTTGTAGGTAATATTCTTAAACAAATTGTTATTGTACATTTCTTGAAAGAAAAAAAATTTATCAAAAATTGGAAATGCATATTACATCATAACTTTTTTTCAAGTTTCAATTCTTGAGTCTTTTTTGAGAAATCGGTAACTTTCACATTCTAGCGATGAGGATATTACAAAATAACTTTTATTAATGTACAATTATCCTTCAGTTTTAGAAATTTTGATCGAGTTGCTCACTGGCTTGATCACTAAACACTTCTCCAAAAATTCGTAAAAAAAACGTTCGTTTAACTTGTCCGCCACTGCACATCCCTACAAAGCACATATAGAGAAAACTACATAGACACTTCACAATATAATCCCACAAATGCAAATACCTATATCGGAAACTTTGGAAAAAATCACCCTGAAAGAGAATCATTTAATATAATATGCAAAGAGTGTTAGAAGAAAAAAAGATCAATACTATTTTAGCTTTGTAAATCTTCTGCCTCCAGTATCTGAAAGCCCTGGCGTAGGCCGGCTCGCGGATTTTCAGCTTCGGCATCGAGTCCATTCCGAAAAAGGTAAAGCACTTGCAAAATAGCGTGCGCTTATGTTTACCGTACTTACCATTGTGTATGTAGTACTGCTAACTTGCCTTCTAGTAAGATTTGACCAGAAGTGGAGCAAAGAGAAAGACGGGTCGGAAGTTTTATAAGTCTAGATGGCGCTGTGGTTCTCCGGCCGCCTGAAACTGAAACCCCCGGGCTGAAACTAGAACTCCGGCAACGTCGCCCCCGTCTGAATTCTTGTCTTACGCGCCGAGTGTGCTTTGGACGCGCTGGTTTGCCGTTTTCAACTGTTTTCCACGGGTTTCTATAATTACAGCGACGGGTGGTGGGGGTGGAGGTGGACTAATGAATTTAGAACGCGCGCGAGTTTCGTTTCGACAGCTTTTTTGGTAATAATGTTACGTACGCTCACAGTGACTAATATTATTCTACCTTGTAACAGAATGGAATTCAGAGCCGTCCCGTGCCAGCCAAGTCAACAAACCGACGACTTCAATGAGAATTTGAAAAATAGTAATACAATATTCGGGGAGATTGCCCAGACGGTAAAATTTTCGGACGAATTTCCAACGCGCTTCTAATTCTGATTACCCTACTGCTTCATCGTAAAACGACTTCTCCATTTGCTGCTCCTTACTACTGTGTCAGGGCCGGCAGAAGGAATTTTTTTGTTCTACAGTCAATAGATATACAGGGTGGTCAAATGAAAACGAAACAGAGCCATTTTCAGGAACTGCGTCAAGATTGTAGAAGAACGCTCAGACCCGTCGATTTTAGATTAAAGGGGGACATTCTTTGCTGGTATTTTTGACTCCGCCACTTTCACCCCCAAGCAAGGGTAAGCATCACCCCAAAATATTTAAATGGCATTGGGGGTTGAGTAATATTTCTTTTGAAAGCTCTTACAATTCTCTTTACAACAGACTTTAAATTTTATAATTCCGCCCAATACTTTGAAAAAAATTTACATTTTAAAATTTAAATTATGTTTAGTTGCTTACTTACTACTTAGTTGATTAAATGTTCAAACTGATGACCGCCCGCTTCCATACAAGAATAAAGATTTTGTTCGAAACGTTCGCGCACATTCCGAAGCATTTCCGGAGTGATTCGACGGCATTCGTCGACGATTCTTTGACGCAAATCTTCCAGCGACGCTGGCTGTGTTTTATAGATTTTACTTTTTAGGTATCCCCACAAAAAGAAATCAAGGGGCGATAAATCCGGTGATCGTGGAGGCCACTCAATGCTGCCTCTTCTCCCAATCCAATTCCGTAGAAAACGTTGGTCCAAATACTGACGGACAATTAACGCATAATGCGGAGGAGCACCGTCCTGTTGAAAAATCAAATGATCTTCATCATACTCTGGAACATTTTCAATAATATCAGTCAAGGCAGGGTCAATAGCGTCTTCCAGTAATTGCAAATACATTTGGCCAGTCAAATTACCAGGTAGAAAAAAAGGACCCACCAGCCGGTCACCGAAAATTCCAGCCCATACATTTAATTTTTCCGGTTGCTGTGTATGCACCTCGTGAAAAACTCTTGGGTTTGAATCGGACCAATAGCGGCAATTGTGACGATTTACCGTCCCGTTCAAGAAAAAACTGCATTCATCAGAAAAACAGATGTTAAAAAGGAACTGTGGATCGTTCCCTGCTCGCTCACTCATTATTTCGCAAAATTGCAAACGGCGGTCATAATCATCCTCATGAAGTTCCTGGACTAAATGTATTTTGTATGGATGGAATTTATTCTTCTTCAAAATGGTTTGTATGCTAGTTCGATTGATCCCAGACGCAGATGCCAGCTGCCTCGTACTTAATGTAGGATCAAGATGAACTTGTCCCAAAACTGCAACTTCACTAGCTTTATTAACTATAGGTTTTTCAATTTCTCGTTTTTTATTGGCTACGTTCCCTGTCTCTTGAAATTTTTTTACTAACTCTAGAACATACTTCCTCCTGACATGTCGATCTTGATGTTGTTCATTAAATAGCTGAGCTGTTCTATTCGCACATTTATTGTTCATAAAGTAAAGCGAAATGATATCTACCCTTTCCGCAATGGAATAAACCATAGTGTTTAATTTTCAAAAACACAATTAAATAAACTACCAACCAACGCTTCCAAATAATACTAGAAAATAATTTGGAATCCACTAATTTTACGTTCATTGTGTGTGTATAGCATTCATTTCTGTTTTTTACAATTGTGTTTTTTTTTACGAAAGTGATAACAAATCGCCAAAAACCAATGTAACGCAAGAAATACTAAATTTATACCATTGGCGTACTTAACTCGAATGACTGACATTTTTACCGTTACTAATTGTTTGTACATAAGTTTCAACTTTAAAATCAAAATTCTTAATAAGTATTGGGCGGAATTATAAAATTTAAAGTCTGTTGTAAAGAGAATTGTAAGAGCTTTCAAAAGAAATATTACTCAACCCCCAATGCCGTTTAAATATTTTGGGGTGATGCTTACCCTTGCTTGGAGGTGAAAGTGGCCGAGTCAAAAATACCAGCAAAGAATGCCCCCCTTTAATCTAAAATCGACGGGTCTGAGCGTTTTTCTACAATCTTGACGCAGTTCCTGAAAATTACTTTGTTTCGTTTTCATTTGGCCACCCTGTATATATTCCTGACTTTTAATATTTAATGTGGAACTACACTAGCTGTATCTTAAAAAAATAATAAGAACGCTTCAAACTAGTGACTTAGGAACATCCTTTCCAACAAGCGCCACATAAATTTTATATTTATAAAGGCAAATACAAAAATTTACAATGTGAAAACAAGAAAACATGCCACTAGTCGGTCTCGGTCTTCGGCTGAATTTCAACGCCATCATTTACGTCTTCCTTTTTATGCTTACGAATGTAGTTGATGATTTTGGAACCGAGGTTCCACTTTTTCTTCTTCAATTCCACCGGGAACTTTAAAGTACGACAACGAGCCGCCAGGCTCAGGTTTTTCCCCGATCCGGAAGCCATGGGAAACGTCATGGTCTTCTTGTAGACGTCTCCCTTCCCCTCGCATTTACCTTCAGACGCGTAGAGCTGGATTTCGTCCATGGTCTCCTCCACGATGGTCCCCCCCACGATTTCGCGGGAGTCGCATTTTGGCAGCGGTATGCTTTCGGGGATGACGTTCCTTCTGACTTTAAAAGAAGGCTCGCCGCTGTCCAAGTCAACTACTCGCACCACTTTTTCGTTCTTCACCTCGAAAGTATCTCTGCGTTCGCTTAAAATGAGCTTCGCCAGGACGTGCTTGGAGTTCTTCACCAAATCGGTTAACCTGTTCTTTTTTTCAACCGGCGCGTATTTGTTGGTGGAGGGTTCTCCTTGGACTACTTCTCCCTCGCCTTCTAGTTGGTCGCCCACTCCTTTCATGGACAAGCAACTTCCGTCTCTGTCGCAAGATAACTTCAACGAGTTTTTGTTGTCTTCGGAAATGTTCATCTCCTGGAATTTGTTAGCCAAATTTTCCAGGATGTCTCCAACTACTTTGGCGGATTTTTCGTGCTCGCACTCCTCGACGATGTCTAACGCGTTGTCTAGAATTTCAGCGACCAGTTCTGAGGCTACGATTTGGGCCAGGTCACTCTTGCAATGTAATTTGCTTTCACAGTCACCGGTACCTGATAAAAAATATCTCACACCTGGGCTTATCTCTGGGTTAAATTGACTCACCTATTTTCTCTAGGACTTCACAGGACATTCTTTTTTAATTATTTTTAAAGGTGACAGTAAAAATAAATGTCAAAATGTTGTTGAAAATCCAAAAGCTCAGTTGTTTTTCCAGTCACGAGCAAAATTCTGACAGTTTGAAGTTTAAAATACCTACAAAATTGAGAGTTGTTTGATAAATAATGAAACCACGATGATTCCGCGTATAGATCTCAAACATGTTACAAAGTAAATACAAATATTCAGGAAAAGATGTAAGAAATAATGAAACGCAACGTGAAAAATTCCCCAAGAAAGACGTGGAACTTTGCCTTGAGGTTGAAATGGACGATGAGGTGAGAGAAATCATAACCTCGCCGGAAAAATGCGTGTCAGCACTACTAGACGTTACGGTCATCAAACCCAAGGACCTAGACCAATTATACTACTCCCAGAAAGCCACCCTTAGCGGTGAGGAAGTGAGGAAACTCATCGCTTCTATGGAACTGGAAAAACAAGACAAGCAAAAGCTCATAGATAAAATCCTCTCAGCAGAAGATCCCAAATCTTCGGGAGACTACGTGAAGAAGAAATACGTCAAGAAAGTCACAGGCCCGCCCAAGGTGGACAGGCAGAGGATCAGCACTACAGACGACACGAATTCGGACCCGGTTTACGCCTACAAACACAAACCCGGTAAAAAGGGCGACGAACGCGTACAGCACATCTACACCACACCAAAAACCTACAGCGACATAAGATCTATTTTCACCTGCAAGAACAGGAACAAGTTCGACCAAAACGAAAAACCAGACAAGCCTTGTCTGTGCAAGAACTGCGCCATAATCGGCGTTTTAACAGATTCGCAAAAGAAACCGTTCATCACCGAAAATCTGCACGATCCCAGGGAACTTCTTTCCAATAACAAAAAAGATAACAAGAGGAAGAAGTTCGTGAACTTTAAGAACTACCCCGACGACCACACCGACTGCGAATATTACTTCAAACAGCTTTCAACGAAAATTCGACAGCTAGAAGAACGCTTATCCATCCAAGAAGAAAAATCCGTTCCCAGGGACTACTTCAAGAGAATCATCACGAAATTAGTGAATCATTTAAGCAAAATTACCAATTACGCAAGCTATGATAGTCCTAGCACACGCCCTAAGAGTAAAGAAACTAAAGAATATAAAGCTAGAGAAAAGTACTGCATTCATCCAGTGTTGCTGGGACAAAAGCCCAGCAAAGTCGATATCGACGAGTTCCTACCAACCACCACCACGTTCGATTGCACCGACAAGTACCAACAAACCACGGATAACTTCTGGAGGTGGGGGGAGGAGATACTGAAGCCCGGGATAGACCTGAAGAATAAAATCGTGATGCTTTTGGAGGAGACCTTGCATAACCTGAAGAAACCCAGATCCGTTCCTTCCAAACTGAAGGTTACGGAGAGGGCAATCGCTGGCAGCGTAGAAGCGCCCCAGAAGCTTCAGGTTGAAGAACCGGTACGTGACTTGCCTACTAACGTCTGCAAGAATTGTCCTCTTGTGAATAATAACGTTTCGGGGTCTATTATGTTCAAACCGAAGAAGTGCAGGAGCTGCGAGAAGGTTAGGAGGTATTTGCAGAGCAAACAGGACTGCGGGTACGAGGAGTCGTTGAATGTGTCCTACTTGAATCCGCGGATGCGGAAGTGGCAGGAGGAGTCGCAGGTTTCCTTCAAATTGGACTCGTCCTTGGACTCCTTCAGATGTCCTGAAGATAGGAAGCTGAATGACGTTTGTAAGTAGTCTTAGAAAATTTTACAGTGGTACACAACTGCAACAAATTATTTTTGCAAATATCTCCAGTAAATATACAAATTAGTAGTATTTTTAAACAATAATTGATTACCTTGGTATGTTTTTTACGTACCTTCATTATGTTCTCTTTTCTACCTGCCGTGTTTAAAAAAAACTTGGTGATTTATAACTATTCGTGTTTGAAGGAAATTGCATACTTGGAAATGTTCCAAGAGAAATAATAAATGGTCCCCTTATATATTTGGCTAGAAAACAATTCTTTTAAGAAAGAGACAGATTATAACTTGGCGAAATTGATTCCTACCCCGATAATATTGTTCGTATTATAATAATTTGGTTGTAAATTATACAAGCGAGTTCTTATCACTTAATAAAGTACATTCAATGTATAAATGTAGAGAAAGTGTTATGTGATGCTGTGATTTCCATTTCAGTTTTATTGCCAATGATGTGAACAAGCTTTTGAAATCTGCCAGAAAATAGGAAAATATTTATTTAATATATTTTTTTTGACACAATTAAAAGACAACTTGACATTCACGAAATTAACTTATCATCAGTAAAAGCTATTCTAGTACCACCCGTAGTGCATAGTTCACAAAAAATTGTCTATTGTAAAATTTAGCATTCAAAGAAATGTTGAATGAAGTGATAATGGAATTCTGTCTCAGCGAATATTGCACGGACTGTAGTGTTTCCTATTTTTTGTTATTGTTCTTAAAATCTTGGTAGGAAATTCAGATCTCCTAAATTACATTTTTTTGTAGATAAAACAGAGTTCAGGGAGACGTTGTCCAACACCAAGGAATCTGACAAGTTGAAACTGTGGCACAGCGTCTGGATCCAGGCGAAGATGAACGGGCAAAACAGGGATGACAAAGTCACCATCCAGATGCCAGACAGGAAGAATTTGAGGAACAACAAAACCGTCGAGATCGAGTATACCATCGCTGAACTAGAAGAACTTCTGGTAGGGTTCGGCAGCTATAGGCATAATTCCAAAAAGAGAAACGATACGAAGTAATTGTGTTTGGGAACGTAACTTTGTTTTGAAAAATTTGTATTTCTGTTCTGTTTCGAGAAAAATGCGTTTACTCAATTCAATAAATAAATGCACAAAATTTATTTAGTATACGGGCTCTTACTGAAAAGTTGAGGTTAAAACCAGCAGAGGCTTTCAATTTAGCTGATCCTACTGTTCTTAAGTGACCCAGGTCACTTAACCAAGTTTCTTCCTTTTCGCTAAAATCAATTGTCAGATTATTTATAGTCCAAGCATTCTGTCACGGATTAATGTTAAATTTGCAAAAATTATTACCTGGACAAAAAAAATATGACTGTATAGAAAATTAAATTTTAAATTGAGTTTCTTGTTCTTTAAACTCGATCCAATATGGCGAACATGGTTAAAAAAAATCGCAAAGTTGAAAAAAACGGTTTTTCTAAAATAACTAAAAAAATATAGCACGGATTGAAAAATTTTAATTGAGAAAGTTGTAGGTTTTAAAAAGATCTATCGACTGATTTTTTGAAAGTATCGATTGCTCTGTTACTTTTCGAGATATATCGAAAAAACCGTTAAAAATCTTCTCATTTCTCTTCTTCTATAACTCGTTTACATTTACGTGCCCATATTTGCTATTTACTGCAAGCATAGCCCGCGGCAAGCTAAAAAAGTACATTTTTGAAAAATTAAAAAATATTAATTATTTTTCGAGATATATCGATTTTTAGAAAAAAAGGCGCTCTCGAAAATTGGCTAGATCTTCTCAGCGGATAGCCCTACAGTAACGATTTTCGGTTTATTTTCTTCGTAAAGAGTTATATTATCATGCTGTAAAAAAATGTTGACGATTTTATTAATTTTAAGGATAAAAAAATTACTGAAAATGTTGCACTTTTTTTGGGTATGTTTTTTCAAATAACTATTTCAATTTTTATTATTTTTTTGTACTTTATCTGGGGTAGCTAAATACGAATATTATAGCATTTTCGCCTTAGAAGCAGAATAGACCCGTAAATGTTTAGTTTTCTTTCTTTAAAAGTCATTTTCATAAAATAAAAATTGAAATAGTAATTTGAAAAAACAACCAAAAAAGTGCAACTTATTCAGGCATTTTTTGATCCTTAAAATTAATAAAATCGTCAACATTTTTTAACAGCATGATAATATAACTCTTAATATAAGAAAATATACCAAAAATCGTTACTGTAGGGCTATCCGCTGAGAAGATATAGCCAATTTTCGAGAGCGCCTTTTTTTCAAAAAATCGATATATCTCGAAAAATAATTAATATTTTTTAATTTTTCAAAAATGTACTTTTTTGGCTTGCCGCGGGCTATTCTTGCAGTAAATAGCAAATATGGGCACGTAAATGTAAACGAGTTATAGAAGAAGAGAAAAGAGAAGATTTTTAACGGTTTTTTCGATATATCCCGAAAAGTAACAAAGCAATCGATACTTTCAAAAAATCAGTCGATAGATCTTTTTAAAACCTACAACTTTCTCATTTAAAATTTTTCAATCCGTGCTATATTTTTTTAGTTATTTTAGAAAAACCGTTTTTTTCAACTTTGCGATTTTTTTTAACCATGTTCGCCATATTGGATCGAGTTTAAAGAACAAGAAACTCAATTTAAAATTTAATTTTCTATACGGTCATATTTTTTTTGTCCAGGTAATAATTTCTGTAAGCATTTCTCTATACTGCTTGGACTATTATTAGGTTGAAATCAACGAATAACCAAGGCTTTAGTTTTTATCAATAGTATATTTATAACATTAGGTATACAAAATTGTATTTATCACAATGTAGTGTGACGGATCTCTGTTGAAATAACTAATATAATACACCTTTTTTTATAAACTATATCTAAAAATCTGAGTAGAGAAATTCTTCAATAATAACTACATAGTAAATAATTTATAAAAAAGTGGATAACAATAATTTAACGTAGAGTATCCTAATTAGTGCCGGAGGAAAATAAGCTGAAAAAGGCAATATGCACCATGCAAATGATCTAGGTGAGTTAATTTCTTAAGAGTTCTTTTTTCTGCACACCTTTTATTCGAAGCACTTGTATCACTTGGATTGAGCTTATACATAAAAAAATGGATATCAACAACACCTGTTCGTTACAAAAAACGTTTTTGAATTCACTACTTTAGGCCGGAACGTTCACTTTGCTTCCCCTCCTTCTGCTCAGCTGCTTCCAGAATCTCCTGTCGAGTTGCTTGTCCTGCAACAGAAGACGACACCACAAATTCACAAAGATGTTACGGATACTACACAACAATTGATTACCTTCAATCGTCGCGGAGAGAGTTGCTTAGGCGAATACGAGGAGTGGATGCTGTCTGTTTCCGAATCCTCAGCGCTGAATACTTTTATTAAATGTCTACCTTCAGGGAACGTTTCGTATATCCTTCGCTCCGGTTTGCGCACATTGAAAAATTCAAATCTGAAACAGACACAGGACATCTTATATTCCTTTATGTTTACTAATTCTTCTATTAATTATGTTTAATAATAATAAAATATATAATATAATAAAATTGGTGCAAATGAACTGTTTTTATATAAAAATCGTGGTGCAAAACACGGACACCGTTGAAGAATTAGCTACTGCGCACGCTCGTTACTCAAAGCTCTTCGTTTGTTGAACTTAGTGCTACCAATTCGTGGGGAAAGTTCCGTGTTGTTTGGAATTTATAGATAGAATTGTGAAAATGGGGTAAAATGTCTGTCACTGTGGTGAAATTCTATATATTCTTCAATACTACAATTTTAAATCAGATGTCTTGTCTATAAAAAAAGGAAAATTTGTTCAACATGGGAATTACCACTTCACGAAGTTGGCGGCACTGGTTGTACTAAATTTGTGTTTACGTGACGAGACGAGCGGTTCGTGATTTTTTTCATGTTTGTGCCTACTATATATCTGCTATTTCTCGTTCGTTTTGTGTATAAGTTAGTGCTTTTGTGATAGATAATCAAGTGAAACGTTTATTGTAAACTGTTCATTGTTAAAGTGTTTTGACAACGGTTTTGGAGTGAAGCTGGTGCAATAAAAACCACCGACTGCAACTTGTTCAAGAAGTACGTGATTTTGTTGGTAAATTTCATTTCCGAAGCGCTGTATCAACATCGTTAGCGACCAAAAGGTATTTATGTAGCTATTATATCCTCTTTCACCCCCTGATTTACCAAGTGGTTCCTAATTAGTAATTAAAACTATTTTTGCTATTTTATTGTTCTCGACAGCCTCGTTGTAAAACTATTTGGTTTCAAATAAGAATTGTCCATAAATTTTGATCTGACAAATTACATATACATTTTTCATTATTACTGAATACATTTCAATCAACAAATTGACTCTTTTTGAGGCACCCTTTCTTAGACCTGACTGACGGAGTCGACCCCGTTGCCTCCTGTCTGGGGATGGTTAACTTTCCCTAAAACTAGGGTTATGTAAATAATTAGACTCTTGTCTTGTATATCTAGTGCTAATAAAAATAATCATAAAACATGACGTACTTAAATTTCAATGAAAAAATCACCAAGTCACTCACATTTTAACGCTTTTGGACCTCGGCACCCTCTCAATATTTACAAACTTGGCTGTCGGCTTGAACCGATTGAAGAAGAATGTGCTTTCGGCGGCGTCGTCGTCTGCGTTTTCGGCAGCCTCTATAATACGGCGATAGCTTTCCGACCGGTGAATCTTCGTCGGTGCTGGCTCCGTCGGTGTCGAAATAGTATCCGCTGGCGGAGAAGGCGTCGTCTCCGGAGCGTCGTACCCGGCGGTAGGACTTGCCGGAGGAGGAGGATCGCTCCCCGCGGGGCTTGCCGCAGCACCCGAACATGTGTCAGCAGCATCTCCAGTTCCGCTGCCCTGCCCGCAATGCAAGAAGAAGATTTATTTTTTTGGAAACAGTTTTGACTTGTCTACTCCACGAAATACAAATATTACCACCGTTTCCTTAGGCGTAGCCCAATTCTTTATACTTTTGCGCGCAAACGTACAAAAACACGTAAAAAAAACTATCCGCTGTAGCAGAGGGATATATGGCCGATCCGGTAAAAAACAAGAATGGAATAACAAAGAAAATCAGTGGCGTTGAAGAACTGACTCAAATTCAATTAAAATGTCATCTACAATCTAATCCCTCATGCTATTTTTACCTACCTGTTCTGGAGATACCGACGGTTCCGTGGGTGGGTCGATCGATGAAGAAGACGACGTTTCGGAACCCTCTTCTATGAGCGGCTCCAAGGTTCTTCTAGGCAACAGCCCCCTCATTACAGCTCCACTGATCGGGGGCGTCATCAGGAGTTCGTCCATCATTATTTCCGTGTCGTCCCCGAAATCCGAAGACAGAGATCCATCGTTTGGCTATGCGAAAGGGAAAATATTGATTTTTGACACTGTCGGGAAGCTGAGAGATGTTGATTTCGTGAAGGAAACAGAAACATGCTGCAGCAAAGTCGTGCAATCACGAATAGCCTCGGAAGAGTGAAAATAGTGAAGCAATAAAGACGTGCGACCCACTATACTTGACTAGTTTTAGCTGTACAGTTTATTCAATTGAATTAAATAAATTAGTTGTAGTATCCAATTAAATTAATAAGTAAAAGCCTCGGTAAGCTGTAAGTATGGAACAATGCTCGGAACAATGTTTTTTTTCGTCCCAACTGACTAAAGCGTATGTTTGGCTTTTAGCAAGCAGAGCTAAATTATTCGAGAAATAACATATTCGCTGACTCTAGAAAAACTATACAAATTTTCATGCAATTTAAGCGTAGTCTTTCCTAACCGACTGTTTGCCTTCATAATTCGGTGAATTAGGTGTGTCATCCAGATCCTCTCCGCTTGTGGGAGTCCCCCATATCTCCTCCCCCGACGTAGCCCCCGACGTTTCGTCCTCTTGCTGGTCTTCACCGTTGACGGCCTTGTCCGCCGACCTCAGATACCTGAACGGAGATTATTTACAAAAACACCTCGAAGACGACGCGTCCTTACCTATCAAAAAATCCTCCACTCCTATAATCTTCGCCTAACTTCTCGAAGAACGCCATTTTTTCCGCGACGAAAGTCCCCGCTCTAACAGTCCAGTGCCTGATGGCGGAAGGATTGAACGCCTCGTTGTCTACTCCTCCGCGGTAGCTCCTTTCGTACATTTCTTCCTCTTCTTCCAATTTTTCTTCGTCTTCCTCCTCATCCTCTTCGCTTTCCGATGAGATGTTGTTCTCCCAAGCGTCCTCGTGACCTTCGGAGCCGAAACGTTCCAGACTAGACACTGTCCCGAACCTTCTAAGGGTGGCTATTGAACTGCTGAGGGAGTGGTAGGGGTGTTCCTCGGTTTGGGGCGAGTCGTCTGGCGAATTGTCCACATCGTTGCAAAGATCGAAATGTTTTAACTGAAATAATACAATTAAAACAATTGAAAACTTTATGAACTCCGTTGGAATTGGTAAGTTCGTTGTGGAGCAACGAAATTATCAAGTTGGTATACAGAGTGATTCATAATGTCATGTACCACGTATTCAGACCAACAAGTAACGTCATTCAAACGTTGAGCAGAAACAGTGGATTGCTCCAGTCGTCTTGAATTTTGCAATTGGTTTCAAAATCAAAATGCACTGGATTCGAATTTTATTAATAAAGTGCCATGACCGATGAGTGAGTGATTTTTTTTAGTCGTACTGTCATTTCAAATAGGTAGGTAAGAAGATATTCTTTGAAAAGTAATAAGTCACGCAGTAAGGTATACGTACTACAAACTGGATAATTAGTTGAACATTGAGTCACCCCGCATAATAGTTTCCAAAAGGGACCAATTTTTGATAGACTCAAAACTGAATTGTAAATCTGTATAAAATATATTTAATATATATTTCTATTTAAAATGTTGTTTTATGGATGTTTAGTTCATTATAACAATCTATGTCCTTCTTACCTCTATCTTATTCCTAATGGGATTGTCGTTTCGATCTTGGTTCACGTTTTGGCACTGAAGGGGATCTTGCCTGTTCCTATTTTCGGTACTGCTGGTTTTAATGGAACTCTCTGGTGTGGCAGGTACTACGGAGATTTTAGGAAGGGGGGTCGAGAAAGGGTCCATTTTCAGCAGGCTGGTTACTGGATTGGCCATCAGTCCTAAAAGAAAATCGTCTTCTAAGATATTGTTTTTAATATACAAATAAATACAACAAGCAAGCACGCAGGGAAAGCACGGACGTCTCTGAATTGACAGATCGTATCGGTTGAAAATCTAAGAAAACGGAAGGAAATTGTGATCAAATGGAAGAAAATTTTAATATCTTTACCTTTACGTCAGCTTCAATCATTTTGGATCGCTCGGTATTTTTTCTAATACATCGAGTTCTGTTTTTATTTAAAAATACGTACCCAAAAGTACAAGAGGCTGCCATTCGTTCCCTTCACTGTCGGTTCTGTTGTCGATTTTTGGTTCGGAGGTCTTCACGTTTTCCCCGCTGTTGTTGCAGTCGCTGTATGTTTTTATGCTGCCATTGGCCGTTGCGTTGCTGCTCAGGCAGTTCTTGTGGCACTGTCGGCAAACCGGCACTGTTTCGGGCATCAGGGGGCTCGATCTGACTGTCACCTAAATGAAAACAGTTTTTTTACAATTTTTCTCTTTTTTCCCAAACGTATAGTTATAGACACGCAGTTTTCCAAAATCCGCGTTGAAAGCTCACCTGGCTCTCCGTCGTGGTACTCTTGGAGGGACTCTGATCCGCGTCGGACAACATCTCCTCGCACCTGCTCTCACTCCTCCTGACATCCATCGCTGAACACGTCACGTTACCCTGAGCGTCGATCAGCATCAGCTCCTCCGACCGTTTCCTGAGCATCTCCTCCGTCCACTCCTCGTACACGGGCTCCATCTCGGGCGTCTCACAGGCCCGGGTCTGGCCGTCCAGCTGGCCCTTCATCCACTGCTCCAGGTGGACGGCGTTGCACTTGCTATTAAAACTAGTTTTGCACAACTGTTTGCACTTATGCTCAATAAGGGCGTCTATTTGTTTTTGTATCTCTTTACTTTCGTTTTGACAGTTTTGGTTTAGGTTTTGCGGGGTCTGAAAAATTTGTATCATTAAAAGTGCACCCGACTGAATCGAGAAGCGAGTCTAAAAGGGCCCACCAACGTACACCATCTCCGCTAAGTCTTTTAAAATGTTTTTTCAATGGCACACATTGTTTATAATACAACATTCTTGAATTTGCTAAATTAAAGCTATGGTCTTAATTGGCGAGGTAGCTTATATTCTTGTTCAAATTAGACATGTCGAAAAAAATTTACAATGCTTCTAAAAAGCGGTATCCTTAAAAATGTCCTTCTATCGATGGTGGATGTTGGTGAGAGCCCGAAAAAATCTAAGGCAAAAAGGTTATTAAAAAGCGAAATGTAATAACTTAAGCTTTATTTGCAAATATATATAAATTACATTTCTTTTTAGTAACAATATAAATAATTTGAATTCTAATAAAAAATGAAAAACTATTTAACTTTAATTTAGATACTAATTCATTTACTTATTTCAATAATGTAAAGGTACTTATATGAAATAGGCAGTCGTTTTGGTACAAGTGCTTTTGCAAAGGAAAACACTGATGGCACAGTTTTGTTATTTTTAGAAAAGTGCATTCGCTGATGGGGCGCCGAGACTAAATTTAGAAAAATTTGGCACGATGAATCACGGCGCGTATGTAGAAAGTTAACATTCGTTTGGCACATTTTTCTTTTCTTGTATCGCGAATGATATACTGCAAAATTGAGACTCACAGTATTTGCAAATGTAACGTCATTTGTGTGACAAACTTATTATTTAAAAATATAGGTCCATTATTTTCTATCCAACCAAATCATTATTGTCTTTACAAATTCATATTTAAATTATATTTAGTCCAGGAAACTACATATTGGCGTAGCTGTTACTTGATGTAGTTTATAGTCCAATTAAATGGGCTTTTAAATAGCAATTTTTGTCAACTTGCCTGAATTTTTAATGTAAGTAAGTTAGTTTGAGGTTTATGTATAATAACAATAAATAACAGTAATTTTTTTCTTGAAATATCCTTTTATTTTATCTATTTTCATCCCTGGCTGGGGAAATTACTGTCACTTATTGTTATTATCACTATACCTCGAACTAACTTATACCAACAATTCAGGCAAGTTGTCAAAATTAAAATTTAAAGGCCCATTTAATTGGACTATTTAGATACTGGTAAAAATCGCTCGAAAATAATATATACAATGAAAATATAAGTTAGCGCCATGGAAAAAAGTTGTGCTATTCGTAGGAAATGTAAATATATGCAAAAATGACTTCCCATAATTTCCAATATAACTTTGTAAATATGCAGTTTAGAGAAAAAACCGTTACTAATGAAATTGTTTGTTATGAAATTTCCTACAAGAGTTGTTTTGATATCGCGCATGTCATATTTTTGTTGCTAGATCTCCAAAACAGCGTAACAAAGTAGGTAATGAAAATCGAGGTAATTTTGACAACTGACAGGTAGGAAATTGTCCAATTCTACAAATGTGGATTCAAGTACTTTTAATTATTACAAAACGAAATCCCAAACCAGATCCAAATTGGTGTGATAGTTTTGGCATGAGACAATTTGTTGTTTAATTTCAACGCGAAATGGCATCATTTTTTTTGCGTCAATGCTGGGGTTAAAGTTAGGCATTTTAATTGGAGATGATTTTTTTTTACATTTACTTGGACCCCTTAACTATCATATAGAATTGTTATAATATCAATTTTTTTATTTTTAGATTTTTGGGGCGATTTTAAAAGTTCGAAAAACTTTGACTTTATAAACAAACAATATCGTGAAGCGGTTTTGCGGGTTGGAAAATATATCTAAGTATTAAAAAAGCACTCGGAAAGACCTTTATCTTGAAAAAATATCGCCAAGACGACGATGAATTACAGAATTTGAAATCGTGCGTTATATGGCTCCGATTTTGATTATTTTTTTTTTAATCCGATATAGCAAAATGAGAGGAAATCAGTTATCAAGATTTCATTAAAATATTATAAAACCTTATCGGCCTATTAGGTACAACTACTTAAAATTTCACATATTTTATTGCTGTTATAAACTACATTCACATAAATCAGCGGCACTGTGTGGAACCCTGGGGTTCCCCATAACCTCTCTGGTGGTTCCGTGACTCAGTCAAAAAGCACATCCCATTGATTATAACGAGCGTTCAAATAAAAACGTGGTCAAGTTGGTTCTGAAAATTTGGACGTAGGGCGTAGCGTATAGCAAATGAACTTAAACGTCATCTGTCAAAGCGCTATATCGCCGCTATCAATTTGAATATTTTCGTTTTAAAAAGCGTTTAAAATGGTGTTTTCTCAAGAACAAAAAGTGTTTATCATAGAGTCCTACTTTAGAAATGGACGCAAGATTGATGGAATATGGAAGTATTCTATTGAGGAATGTTTCATAGAATTTCAAAATCAATTTCCCGGCGTTGTTGAGTACAAAATTTTTCAAAGTGCAGTTCAGCGTTGTGTTAATGTTTTTCGTGAAACGGGCAGTGTAACAAGAAAAGAAGGAAGCGGCCGACCTAAAAAGCGGACTGAAGAATTAAAAGAAAATGTCCAACAAATAATGGAAAATGCGCCAAGAACTTCTGTACGTGTTTTATCACAAATGGTGGGAGTATCAGTCGGTACCTGCCACACAGTGTTAAAAAAAGATTTGCGTTTGTTCTCCTATCGTTTAACTTGTCAGCAAGAACTTCATGAAGTTGATTTTCCGCGACGGGCTGTATTTTGTGAATGGTTTTTAAACAACTACGGTGAACTTCATAATATCACCTTTTTTTCTGATGAAGCCTGGTTTCATTTAAGTGGTTACGTAAACTCACAGAATATGAGAATGTGGTCTTCTGAAAAACCAGATAACTTTTTTGTCGAGGGCCCTCTACACGCTCAAAAAATTGGAGTTTGGTGTGCTCTCAATCGAAGGAGGATTTATGGACCTATTTTTTTTAATGGTACTCTTACTGCGCAAAGGTATAGAGAAGAAATTATCGCTCCTTTTGTTAACCAGCTGGAAGAAAACGAAATTACAAACTTTTACTTTCAACAAGATGGCGCAAGGGCACATACGGCAGGCGAGACGATGAATATGTTGAGGGAAGTTTTCCAAAATCGACTAATAAGTCTCAATGCTGAACATGAATTTCCACCGAGGTCATGTGATATTACGCCGTGTGATTTCTTTTTGTGGCCTTACCTTAAAAACACTATTTTTGAACTGCCTATTCCTGATTTAAACCATCTGCAGGCTCGACTTATAGACAAGATTCGTGAAATTAACAATACCCCGAGCATCTTAGAAAATGTCTTTAATTCTTTGAGGAACAGGTGTGAAAAGTGCTTGGAACAAGGAGGGGGACACTTTCAGCAGCTGCTTTAATTTATTGTTATAACAAGGAGGGGGACACTTTCCGCAGCTCCTTTAATTGTTTGTTATTGTTATCACGATTATTCTTTAAAATAAAGTTATCTAGTCATTAACGTAATTGAAACTGACAGCTGCTATACAGCTCGTTGAGAAATGAGGTTAAGTTGGTCGCTATAAGCTACTCCATACTACCAATGTGTCAGAGCCAACTTTGACCACGTTTTTATTTGAACGCTCGTTATTTACTCTCTTTTTTTAATTATCCCATACATATTTACTATAAACTTTTAAAAGCCTTAGTTTAATTTTTAATAACAATTAGTGGAATATTTATTTTGTTAATCGTAGTAAAAGTTTGAAGACCGCTGACGTAAATAATAATATCGATGGTAGATATACGTTCCTCACTGTTACATAATAGGTATTAGTTTTAATATTTATGTACCTAGTATATGATTTTTTTGTTTTTTTGGATGACTTGTAGGCGATATAAAATTTTAATTTTTTGCAGAGAACATTAGAATTGCAATGTCTTTGATAAGCAAATAAAAAAAAATTCTGAATGGGCCCATCGAGAACGAAATGTTTTCGAAACCAATAGAATATCTTATAAAAATTTGGCATATTACAGGAATAAATATTAATATATAATTTGAAGCGCCAGCGAGCGATTGCACTTTTCCCCACAACGCGATTTTTTCGTTTAATTCTCGCTTTTCTGCGATATCCCGTCGATATTCAGGCAGCTCAGATCGTAATCGAACTGAGTGACGTCCCAGGGCTCGTCCCCGAACGTCAGGAACTCAATGTCGTCGCTGTGTCCATCAGTGTCCGAACAGACCTCGGTACTGGGCGTGAGGATGGCGGAGGGGGAGGGCGGCCCCTCGGGGAGGGTGTTCTGCCGGGGCAGCAAGCTGCTCTCCGAGGTAAAGTGCGACGTGAAAGCCTGACTTACGCCGGATGAGGAGCGGGACGAGATGTTGGCGCTGGGTGTCTCGGGGGTGCGGTCTAGCCGGGCGACGGGATTCAGATCGGGAGCGAGACATGGCATGGAGGTGTCTAGTGTTTCGTGGCCTTGACGCACCTGACGACGCTGCAACGTGAGCGACTCTGCCGACTGCAGGGTGACCACGGAGGAGGTGATGGGGGCGTCGGGGGATTCTAATGGAGAACTAACCGAGCTGCCGTCCATGCCGGAGTTCAGGTGGAAGCTGCGTGCGCAACAACATAGCTAATGTCATCGGGGGGGTGATTGTAGTTCGTTTGTTTTGGTAGAAGCTTGGGGGGCGTGTCGTGCGACGCTTTGGGTGGGTTTTTGACTTTGGTCGGAAGAATTCTCGCAAACACATGGTTTATTTGAATAAAAAAGTTCTAACAATATCGCTTCTATATTTTCGTTTAGAAAATGGGTGTCCCACCACGAACTCCATCAATGGATATCTGGGAAACTGCTAGAAGGATTTTTTTGAAATTGTGATGGTGTGATACGGACCGTGGGGCCTATCAAGCTAAAATATTTTCAAGGTCATCGTATTGTCAGCAAAATTTAGTTTTCCCGGAAACATACGTTTATTTTTTTGTGCAAATTAGACATTTTGTAGAAGAAGACCTAATTTATCAAATTTGACGTGAAAATTTTCCAGTTTTTATACAGGGTGGTCAAAAAAAAAGTATCGAATATGAAGTTCAGAAAATTGGGAAAACTCGAAATTTTTAAATGGAAACCCCTAATTTTTTTTAACGTATTCGCATACTGCAAAATAATTAAGTGCACTTTTGTTAAAGTTTCTCCATACCTAGACCTAGCGGTTTTTATTTTATTTACGAATTTACGTTTTAAATAAATTATTGTGTTCTATTTGTGGTTAAAGTTTGATTCACTCGAACTGAAACACCCTGTATATTGATTATTACTGATATATTTTTGTTTTTAATTAAGTGGGACTCAGCATAGCCCACTAAAAACGAGGCTCAATACCTTAAATGAAATAATTAATAAAAAAAATTTTTTTTCATATTTATTTTCGATTCTAGCGTTACGGAAACAATTTTTCTACCAAGTATTCTACCAAAATAAAAACGTCAAAACCATCAAAATTTCACCGACAACGTTTGACTGCATAATCACGGTGATAAATAAATACGATGTTCGAAAAAAGGTAAATAAAAACTTTTTGGTTTTTGAGTTCAAAATTTGCAAATATAAAACTAATTTAATTAATAATTTCATAACCCATTTACGGATCACGTTAAAATTTGGCTCATTTATTCAAATCAATATACTGGGTGATAGTTTTCTCCGGTTACCTCTCTCTTTTAGCGGTCAAAATTTTTACAGTGGTCGTATTTTTGAAACGGGCAGTAACACTGGAAAGGTCGTTTTAATTTTTTAAATAAGTTTTTGATAATAATAGTCCAAATAAATCTGCCAAATTTTAACGCGATAGGTAAAAGGCTTATGAAGTTATTAATTAAATTAGTTTTATTTTTAACAACTTTGAAGGCTTGTAATTCAAAAACCTAAATTTTTTATTCAGCTTTCTTTTCGTAGATCGTAATTATTTACCGTCGTGAATATGCAGTCAAATGTTGTCGGTGAAATTTTCGGACACCCTGTTATAGAAAATGAGGTACTTTCGCAAAATTAAAAATTTTATTGTTAAATTTGTGACTACAATCACCCAATAGATTCTAAATGATATCCATAAAGACTAACTAATCTACTATTTGTGTATTACTAACCGTAACATGCATAAAAAGTAATCATCACTAGTGTCCAAAAATTTCCCTCATGTTCTCCAAATTATTAAAAAAAAATCTCAGTTTATATCGGAAAAAGTTTTACTTGTTTTTTAATTAATATACAGGGTGTTCCTAAATAAGTGTCGCAACGGAAAACTGTAAATTCCTCTTGAAAAAAGAAACATTATTTTCCTCTTCCATTTCTCTCTCCGGGCTTTCGTTTTCGAGATACACGGTGTCAAAACTTTAATTTTTTTTTAGTTTTTCGCCCATATCTTAGGAATCGTTTGAACTACAGGACTGAGCTTTTGTACACACATTACCACTATTAATAGCTACTTTTTCGCACCCTTCTCGAATTCATTGGACGTGCCAGTGGTGGAGATTTTAAGGTATCGTAAGGGTTTTTCCCCCCCTAAATTTTACGCCACTGGAAAAATTGACTTTTGACAGCAAATTCTAAAGCGCCAATGAATTTTACACAATAAGAGTTCTCTTGGTTCATTGCTCTAAAGTCAACCGTTTTCAAGAAAAATGACTTTTTATGAACAAAAGCAAACATTTTGCTAACGTTTCGAAAATCTTTTGTAATTCAAAAAATAGGTAGTAATAATTAACAATTTTAACGAAATTTAACAACAGATAGGATTTTAACTTTTTTTTATCAATTTGGCGAGTAAAATTTACAGAAACTGTTCAAAATTACGTCCGTTGGCTTGAATGCACGCATTACATCTTCTAATCATGTTTCTTTCTGCCGCTGCGGCTTCACCTCTATCGGTCAACTTTTCGATAGTATTGACATGGATTTCATAAACGATGCATTTCGTTCTCCGGATGTTCTGTTCAGTTACTTGCACTTGCAAAATGTTCAAAATGCAAAATGCAAAATGTAAAAAATTTTCGAAACGTTAGCAAAATGTTTGCTTTTGTTCATAAAAAGTCATTTTTCTTGAAAACGGTTGACTTTAGAGCAATGAACCAAGAGAACTCTTATTGTGTAAAATTCATTGGCGCTTTAGAATTTGCTGTCAAAAGTCAATTTTTCCAGTGGCGTAAAATTTAGGGGGGGAAAACCCTTACGATACCTTAAAATCTCCACCACTGGCACGTCCAATGAATTCGAGAAGGGTGCGAAAAAGTAGCTATTAATAGTGGTAATGTGTGTACAAAAGCTCAGTCCTGTAGTTCAAACGATTCCTAAGATATTGGCGAAAAACTAAAAAAAAATTAAAGTTTTGACACCGTGTATCTAGAAAACGAAAGCCCGGAGAGAAAAATGGAAGAGGAAACAAATGTTTCTTTTTTCAAGAGGAACTTACAGTTTTCCGTTGCGACACTTATTTCGGAACACCCTGTATTTTAAAAATTTTTGTATTCTTAGTGATGTATCAACTTTTATTCTAATTTTTAGGCAGCACAGGATATATTTGCTGTTGCACTTCTTTTATTTTCATATTATCTTTCTCTGACACCCTGTATATCGTTTCACGCGAACAACAAATTCTGTTATAAAAATATTTTCCAAAAACACCCTTTGCTGTCTACAGGTCAACTTATTCAATTTCACCGCTTCCACTATCTAATTCGACTATCTTTATGGATACCCTAGACCTCTATTTCAAACTAAACCTCAACAATAAACTCTTCTAGAAAAAAACGGTTAATGAAAAGTGCGTAGTGCTCATAATGCGAAATTTCAAGCCGTGACTCACATCTGTCGCTGCAGCAAGTTCTGCCACACGGCCTTCAGTTCGAGGGTGGGGGCTCTTAAGATCACAGTTTTCTTGTTGGCGTTCTTCCTAGGCGTCCTGGTCAGGTCGGGGCCACAGTGCACAGTGGGGCTCTGCGCCTTAGCCCCCTCCGGGTTGATTGTTATCCTAAATTCAGTGTCTGAAAAATTCCACACACCTGATTGCGCGTAAAGCGTTTTTATCTTTACGCGCCCCCGAATACAATACGCATTAGAGCGTAGGTAACATTTTACTCTACGCGCCAGCGCGTATTGTACATTTTATTTTACGCACCAGCGCGTATTGTACATAGTACTCTACGCACAAGCGCGTATTGTACATGCTACTCTACGCACCAGCGCGTATTGTACATTCTACACTACGCATCGGCGCGTATTGTACATTTTACTCTACGCACCAGCGCGTATTGTACATTTTACTTTGCGTACCAACGCGTGTTGTGCATTTTACTTACGCAACAGCACGTATATATTATTCTATTTTAGCTGATAGTGCTTAAGTAATTTGTTTATATTTTATTTTGCTGCGCTTACAGTTATCGACAAAGCTTGTATATAACTGTAATCTTGACGAAGAATTTGAATCAAGTAGGATTCTTTCCATCTTTCGCATTGTGTTACGTACCTTTTTTTCTCACGTTAAAAAACATATCGGTTATATGCGCCAAGGGTAGCGGTTCCTCGATGACGAACAAGACGCGGTCCCTAGAAGCCTTCGCGAAAAGTAGCAGGTCGCTGAACAGCAAGGTCCAGTACTGTCGGACGTTTCTACCCTCCACCCTGCCAAGGTCACCACCGAAAATCCACTGTCGCCCTGGTTTATTAAGTACAAAAGGCTGAAATAAAGAACAGTATTAGTTGAGCAAGGAAATTGGACTACAATTGCACAGTTTTAGTTCTTTTAAGTAATGGCATTGTGGGAAAACACTACTCTGCGGACTACAGGCCCCATCCAACATTGAATTACACCTAAAGTATCTAGTAAACTAAAATCATTCGTCGGTAGAATCTCCCCACATTGTGACTTTATCATAATTAGTTAATTGTGAAAAAGGATAACAGCAAAAAACTATAAATTAGCCGTTGCTTGTTAATATTAGGTACTTAACAAATGGGGAATATGTACTTACTTTGCATTTAGTAAAAACTAGCCTATTTTCTAAATCTTGAACAGTTAGTAGGGGTCTACCCTCCCCTACAGGCTCCATGAGTCCTGCTTCCGAAGTTATTTCTCTATAAGTTAACTGCAAAAAAAAATATTTGTTAAATATGTAAACATTGCTATTGTTATTGTCTTAATGATTCAGATAATCCGATATATTGTGTACTCATTAATTTTCTCTACTCTAGAAGAAGAAATTATGATTTAATTTAACTTATTCAGCTCAGGACATCACTGAATTAGGATGATTGCCACGTCATCGGTGGAAACGTCTTTATGTGTCATAAAGATATAGCGCTCTTTTTAGAAGAAACTGGGAAGGTACAGTGGTATTCATATTCACTCAGCCGGTGATATTCGAGGTGTATTGTTGCGGAGCTTGACTGATAACGATGATTGTATAATTTGCACTTTGGAGATTCATTAGCCCTTCGCCTATCGAAATAATCGTCAGCAAGAACTGAGAGATGCGCGACTATGAATGCGCGGGAGCATGACAACTACCAGTACTACCACCAATAATATATTTGGTTCTTATGAAACCTTAAAATGTAAATTATACAAATTTTTCAGTTATAGAATTTCCTTTTTATTCTAACATGTAATTTCTCAGCAAAAGACAAATTATTCCCCATACACTTACTTGTAAGTCGTGCACAACTTGAGTTATCACAGGAAAATCATCATGATTGGGTTTGGTATTGTTCTGCACGGTCATCAGCAACCTCAGCATGTCCCTGTAGTGTTCTAGGGGTTTGTGGATGAACGTGGTGATATCCGGCCGTCGCCTAGGTATCTGAGGCACCTGCAGGAACCTAGTAAAGTCCGAGTTGGAGTTCTTCGTCTTATTGGCCAGGATGCAGTCCGCCTTTTTGATTCCTGAGCAGTACCGCTTGTACGCCGACGTGATCTCGTGCAGTTTTAGGTGGTAGGTCCTCGTCAAGTGGTGGAGCTGGGGTTCCCCGTCTTCCTGCACCAGGTGGTCGAGGATGTCTTCCGTTATGCGGAGGATCTGAAATTTCCAAAAAAGTATAGTTTTGAAAAGTGTCATCAGAGAAAACACGACTTATTTTCTCGCTTCGGCTCTGGAAATAACGATGGAAGTATGTAAACAGACGTAAAAATGCTCGGCAATTTGCTGTTAATAAATTCGCGAGGAAAAACGTCAATAAAACTCATAATACTTATCAGAAACGCAACTCTCCCAACATTAATCTCGATAAATCCGGTGATTTATTACCTCCTCGCAGTTCTGGAATAATATCCTGTGCTCGGAGGGGGTGATGAGGTCCTTTCTCTCGGCTAGAGCGGAGACGAACCTCGCTATGGCGAATTGCAGCCCTGTCGCGTATTGTTGCTCCTTGCTGATTAATTGGTACATCGCCTTCTTGCGGTTCTCGTCAGGGTTACTTGTCGGCTTCTGAAACACGCAGAACGCAATTAATATACGACGTGACTCTCGCTATATCCTTGAAATAAAATGGAGAATGTACCGAGTACCTCAGTCCTGATACACCAAACTGAAACGAGGTAACGTATTCGGACTGGTTTGTAAAGTAAATATCTTGCCTTACGCGCTAGTGCGTAAGTAAATTGTTTATATTTCACTTTGTCCAGGCAACAGTATTCATAGCTGTCGTATTAGCTGTTATCTTGCTATCGGGACCCTCGAAATTCAGAATTATTTAGTAACGATTTAAAAATATTACATTTACTTACGCATTAGTGCGTAAGTAAATTATACATTTTACTATCTCACTATAGCAGTGCTCTCAGCTATCATGTTGGATGTCACTTTATTTAAACGACCTTCGATTTATTCAGAATTCAGAATTATTCAATTATAATTTATTATTAAATTTACTTACGCAATAGTACGTACAGCTGTTGTCTTACATATTACTTCGCTGTTACGACCTCTTAAATTGTCAAACTGCTAAATATTCTGTAATAATTTATTAAAATTAAATTTACTTACGCACTAGTGCGTATTTTACGTTTTAATTTCTCACGATGACAGTACTCTCAGCTATCGTGTTAGATGTCACCTTGTTATTACGACCTTCGATTTATTTAGAACTCAGAATTATTCAATTATAATTTATTATTAAATTTACTTACGCACTAATGCGTAAGTAGATTTTACATTTTAATTTATCACTATAACAGTACTTTCAGCCGTCGTGTTGAATGTCACCTTGCTATTGCGACCTTCAATTGATACAGAATTCAGAATTATCCGATTATATTTTATTGCTATTAAATTTACTTACGCAATAGTACGGACAGCTGTTGTTTTAGATGTTGCCTCACGTCGCGACTTCTCAAATTGTCAGATTAATTACGATTCAGTAACAATTTAAGAGAATTAAATTTATTTACGCAGTAGCGCGTACGTAAATTTTACATTTTAATTTGTTTCGGTGATAGTTTTCTCGTCCATAGTACTGGATATCATTTCACTGTCACGGTCTTTGAAATTGTCAGATTGGTAGAGAATTCATAATTATTCAATAATAGTTTAATATTAAATTTACTGTGTAATAATACGTTAGTTACTGTATTAGATATCATCCCGCCGTGATTAAGGTTACAATTAAAATTATTTACGCATTAGTGCGTAAGTAAATTGTACAATTTACTTACGCACTAGTGCGTAAGTAAAATTCACATTTTAATAAGTAGTATTACGCTATACATAGTAACATTTTCTCCTTAGCTTAACCCTATAAAATTCCATATTTCCTCTTCCAAACGAGCGTTATAAAAGGCAGTAATTTAGTATTATGTGTCTCTTGCCTCTCGTTTATTGATCTGTCATCGTTACGTGGATCACGAAGTGAAATATTAGCTCGGAAGTAGATGCCGCGAGAATCGGGGTGATATGTATAAACGACTACGCAATGTATTTCACTTTTCCACGGAAAATCGTTATCTGTATGTGTACATGTAAACTGAAATAGATTCGTGGATATTATAAATGCATGCGTAAATGTCTACACGTGTATATACCAACCACGTCAAATTGTCAGATGATCCAATTACGCACCGGGGGTTATGCGAAGGGTGCCAACAATTACCTGATACCGTTATTAATTTGAAGTGGGACTAGGTAATGAATAAGGCACGTAATTTTCCATTTATTCTTATCGATTGTGTGTTTATAAATAATTCTTTACGTAATTCCCTCGTCAGGCTTAAATTAGATTTTAATTATACGGCTATTTGGAACAAAGTCGTTATAGCTATAAAAAGCATTAACTAATACGACAGAGTATTAAAAGTAAAACGATTTTTTTCTTAAGAACTATGTGTCTATCATTTTTTGTTTTCTGGGTGTTAAGGCCAACTTATTTTAAATTAATTATGTCAATATTTCCAAAAATGTATACAGGGTGTGCCACGGTGACGAGACATTAGACATATTTCAGAGACTACTTCGATTTTAATTTTAAAAATTTGGACAATAGTGTTTTCCACCTAACGCTTCCGGTTATACCGAAAGTTGACGTCATCTTCGTTATTTAAATGGAAGACCCTGTATATTATTGCAATTTTGGATTCTACGTCAATTTTTAGGTGAACTTTCGTAAAAGTTTCCTATTCTTAAAGTCAACCGTTTTTGATATGCTTATTTAATTTAAAAAAAAAAAAAATTAAAAAAGCACTGCCTAATTCAAAAAGATGTGTATTTTACAGTAATAAAGTTAGAGCTATAAAATTTATAGGGGACATAACTAAAACTCTAAGCTTCCCTGCCATAATATCAAAATGACTTAATTTCATACAGGGTGGTAGAAATTTAATGCCGAATTTAGTCAANAAAAACAAACATTTTTTTTTTTCGTATCTCTTGTGGAAATATGTTAGTTTATCATGTTTTAAGAACACCCACAAAATATCAGATCTAAATCAACTTTTTTAGAGGTCGCTCAAGATTTTTAAAAATTTCCAAAATCGTCAAAAATTGAATTAAAAAAAAATTTTTTTCTCGTTATTTTATCATTTTCTAGGTTGACTGAAAATTTCAAATCGATATTTTAATTTCTAAAGGTCACTCATAATTATTTTAACTTTAAAAGTAGTGTACCTAAAATGTTTTCGAGCGACCACTAAAAATAAATATCAACGAACTAATCATTTTTTTTATTAAATTTGATGAACAAAAGAATAGAAATAAATCACGTGACACTTAAAAAATTTCTCGAGGTAAAATTACTACCTCACTGAGTATCAAATGTTTATAATTTTTAATTTTTTTTAAATTTAAGTGTCTTGTGATTTATTTCTATTCTTTTGTCCATCAAATTCAATAAAAAAAAATTATTAGTTCGTTGATATTTATTTTTAGAGGTCGCTCGAAAACATAGGTACACTGCTTTGAAAGTTAAAATAATTATGAGTGACCTTTAGAAATTAAAATATCGATATGAAATTTAAAGAATCGAGATTTTTTTCAACCTAGAAAATGATAAAATAACGAGAAAAAAAATTAAAACAAAATTCAATTTTTGCCGATTTTGAAAATTTTTAAAAATCTTGAGCGACCTCTAAAAATATTTTTTGAGCTGATTATTTGAGGGGGCTCTTAAAACGTGATAAACTAACATATTTTCACGAGACACGAAAAAAAAATATTGTTGTTTTTTTTGGGCCACCCTACTATCCATGAATAAATAATAATTTAAGAATGCCAGCATTTGACTTTTCCATTCTTTAACAATAAATAATACGCAAATAAGCAATCACTGTATGTGTTAAATTGACAACAATAAACTGGTGGCAGATCTATATGAAATTATGGAAGGGAAGCTTAGAGCTTTAGTTATGTCCCCTATACATTTTCTCGCTAACTTTATTGTTGTAAAATACACATCTTTTTGAGATTAGGCAGTGCTTTATTAACTTTTGATGAAAAAAATTAAATATATCAAAAACGGTTAACTTTAAGAATAGGAAACATTTATGAACGTTCACCTAAAAATTGACGTAGAATGTAAAATTAATATACAGGGTGTTCCATTTAAAATAACGAAGATGACGCCAACTTCCGGTATAACAGGAAGCGTTAGGTGGACGCCATTATTTTAGTTGAGAAGGGCACTCCAGAAAACACTATTGCCCATTTTTTAAATTAAAATCGAAGTAGTCTCGGAAATATGTCTAATGTCTCGTCATCCTGGGACACCCTGTATAAATCTTATCTAATGTCGTTTTGTATATTTGCCTACACTGATTGAATAATAAAAAATTATTTATGAAGTAAAAAAAAAGATTTATCCATTCTAGCCCCACAGCTCCGACCTGTAGATTTGACTCTCATCTTACTTTAAAGTGGGTTTTTCATAATCCCTTTGTACAACTGAAAGAAATAAGGCAGTATAATAGATCTTGCTCCTTACGGATAGGCAATTTTAAATACATCTATACACTTTTCTAGTGAATATAATCGATTTACCGACTAAAATTTGTAAACAGTTTTGTTGCATATTTTTTATTTCACAGCTACAATATAAAATTGTATCAATAATACCTTCTGGATAAAGCGGGGTAGGGGGGATGTGGCAAAAAATAAATAAACTAAAAAAAAACATGTATTTATGCACAACGTAAATCACATTTAACAAAAATGACAAAAAGAAATTATAAATTACAATAATTAATAGAGAAACAAAATGAGAAATTATAATTCCTCAAAAAAAAGGTAATAAAAATAATAAATAAATAAAAAACAACACGTAAATTAAAGACAGTAAACAAAGCTAAACACAATAATGAACATGAGAACCTAAACTTAAAGGGTTTTACTTACAGGTTACAGATATACTGGCCATAATAAAATAAATAATGAATACATACAAAAATGTACAAAATAAAGAATTAAGAAACAAAATCATTCATTCAATTTTTTGCAATGAATATTAAAACACCATATCAACCTGCTAAACATTTCAAAAGTGAAATAAAAATGGCACTGGAAGTCGAGCAATGCAACTAATTATTCCTCGAGTTTGTACCACAAATCGATTATTGAAAAAAAACAAGGTGGTGTCGAAACCGTCGAAGAAAGACGCTCTAAACGATTACCCCGCTACCAACCTCGGCGCTGAAGGTGACCTGGGGCAGATGCAGCTTCCTCCTGCTGTAATCCACGGAAGTCGTGTTGGTGGAGCACACCGTCGACGGCCTGCGTTGCACCAGGTTCGAGGAGGACGTGACGGAGGTCACGGGAAGGATGGAGCTGCTGCCTAGCGTTCCCGAGGTGGCTAGGGGCGTGGACACCCTCTTCACGCTGGGCACGGACCCGTTCCTAGACGGGTTGCGTCTGAATATCTCCAGGGTTAATTGACTTCCGTAAGATCTGCAAGAAAGAAGTCAATTACCGGACTGGATTTCCCCACAAAATATATATCTGCAACTTACCTAATTAAATTCAAAATATCAATCTCCGGCATCATGACCACGTTGTGCTTGTCCACGAAGATGATGTAGTCCCCGGGGAGGATCCCCGCCCTCTCGGCGGGCAACCCCTTCTCCACCCTCTCTATCCTAGGGGGGTGAGTCCACACCACCGAGAACCCGAAGCCGGACTTGGGCGGCCTTATCAGCCTCTTGGTGCACGTGAACGGTGTCCTGCCGTTCCTGTTCCCGGTGGCCTTCCTCTGGGTGGCGGCGGACGTGGCGTCCGGACCTTCCGTGGGGTCGAGCTCCAGGTACCTCAGGAAGAGGTTCTCGTCGGCGTACTTCTGCTGCTCGCTGAGCACGGACTTGCACGTGGACTTCTTCAGGTCGTTCTCCAGGTCCTCCAGGCTCATGAGCTCGTCCACGCTGGACTGGCTCTCGCACATCTTGGCGTCGGTCTGTACGTCTGTCGTCGCGGCGTCCTGTGTTATCGGCACGTGCGTGCACCGGCCAGTCGATTGAGGTAGCAGTCTGTAAGAGCCGCTAAATCCCTGAAAAAAGAAAGGTTTTGAAAATTTGCTTTAACTACAAGGCGAGGTAAAAGTCCTCAAAACTAGTTTCCATCTACTCGAAATTACTTTCTATGGTCAAAAATAACGAGCGTTCAAATAAAAACGTGGTCAAGTTGGTTCTGAAAATTTGGACGTAGGGCGTAGCGTATAGCAAATGAACTTAAACGTCATCTGTCAAAGCGCTATATCGCCGCTATCAATTTGAATATTTTCGTTTTAAAAGGCGTTTAAAATGGTGTTTTCTCAAGAACAAAAAGTGTTTATCATAGAGTCCTACTTTGGAAATGGACGCAAGATTGATGAAATATGAAAGTATTCTATTGAGGAATGTTTCATAGAATTTCAAAATCAATTTCCCGGCGTTGTCGAGTTCAAAATTTTTCAAAGTGCAGTTCAGCGTTGTGTTAATGTTTTTCGTGAAACGGGCAGTGTAACAAGAAAAGAAGGAAGCGGCCGACCTAAAAAGTGGACTGAAGAATTAAAAGAAAATGTCCAACAAATAATGGAAAATGCGCCAAGAACTTCTGTACGTGTTTTATCACAAATGGTGGGAGTATCAGTCGGTACCTGCCACACTGTGTTAAAAAAAGATTTACGTTTGTTCTCCTATCGTTTATCTTGTCAGCAAGAACTTCATGAAGTTGATTTTCCGCGACGGGCTGTATTTTGTGAATGGTTTTTAAACAACTACGGTGAACTTTATAATATCACCTTTTTTTCTGATGAAGCCTGGTTTCATTTAAGTGGTTGCGTAAACTTACAGAATATGAGAATGTGGTCTTCTGAAAAAACAGATAACTTTTTTGTCGAGGGCCCTCTACACGCTCAAAAAATTGAGGTTTGATGTGCTCTCAATCGAAGGAGGATTTATGGACCTATTTTTTTTAATGGTACTCTTACTGCGCAAAGGTATAGAGAAGAAATTATCGCTCCTTTTGTTAACCAGCTGGAAGAAAACGAAATTACAAACTTTTACTTTCAACAAGATGGCGCAAGGGCACATACGGCACGCGAGACGATGAATATGTTGAGGGAAGTTTTCCAAAATCGACTAATAAGTCTCAATGCTGAACATGAATTTCCACCGAGGTCATGTGATATTACGCCGTGTGATTTCTTTTTGTGGCCTTACCTTAAAAACACTATTTTTGAACTGCCTATTCCTGATTCAAACTATCTGCAGGCTCGACTTATAGACAAGATTCGTGAAATTAACAATACCCCGAGCATCTTAGAAAATGTCTTTAATTATTTGAGGAACAGGTGTGAAAAGTGCTTGGAACAAGGAGGGGGACACTTTCAGCAGCTGCTTTAATTTGTTGTTATAACAAGGAGGGGGACACTTTCCGCAGCTCCTTTAATTGTTTGTTATTGTTATCACGATTATTCTTTAAAATAAAGTTATATAGTCATTAACGTTATTGAAACTGACAGCTGCTATACAGCTCGTTGAGAAATGAGGTTAAGTTGGTCGCTATAAGCTACTCCCTACGTCCAATGTGTCAGAGCCAACTTCGACCACGTTTTTATTTGAACGCTCGTTATTATTTTGAAGGATCTCTTTGTGGGCAGCCATAGCCAACACAGTATAATGTGTCTTCTTAAAAAATAACGACTTTATTCAAAACGAAACATTAGCAAAACTCTTACTGTACTTTAGTATACCACTCTGTATAAATATTGATCCTGGCGGACATATGCAATTATTTATTGGTTTATTATCTCGGAAAGGCTTCCGAATTAAAGTTTACAGTGATCAATATCGAACTGACCTATCTAGAATGAAACGGAAGATATTCCTGTATGTGTTGGTTTCCTATGTTGGCAATAATGTCACATTATAGTGGTCATTACGACGATTTAGTAAACTTGGAACCCGGCAATGTAAAGTTGTAAATATTACAATGCGGTCTTCACTATTTTAAAATGAATATAAGATGTAATGGTACAAATAGAACAGGTGGTGTACCTCATTTTTTAAATGAAGGCCACTTGAAAAAGCAACCCTTGAAATGCAGAAATATTTAATTAATGTATCGTGGCTGAATTTCGTTTTGATTTTTATACATACAAAATAAAGGTGTAGCTACTGAAAAGAAGCGTAAGAAGTATTTTTTACGGTTTAGTATTATTTGGATATATTATTTTTTTATTGTTGATAATTATTCACTACTTTTTCTGTGAAATTATTCTTTTAACATATCTAAATATTTGGCAAGAAAGTCACGACCAGAGCGACTATCTTATTGTGAATAACAATTAGACTTTTTTATGAAAAAAATCAACGGATTTATATTGAAAGTGATTTGTAACACAAATATACCAATTGTTACATTGTCAGCAGATTATGATGTGTTTCACTTTGACATAATTAAGGACTTCAAGTATCCAAAACATATTTTTCAAACAATTTTTGAAAGTTTTTGGCACAATTTTTACAGGCTCTTAAAAAAAACTTAAAAAAAGTTTTCGAAATCTGTTTTTTGTTTCATTTCAGCCTTGTTTGAGGTGATATTGAAAAAAGAAGAACACTTTCCCATAGCAACTTTTTGCCCTCTATCGAATGGCATATACAATTTTTATATCTAACGTTTCGTCTTTCCACAGCCATCAACTTAATTTTTTTAAATACTTCTGTGGAAATTTATTACATTATTTGCAAGCTTTCGTGACCGCCAATACTGTATTACCTCAGCCCGAACCAAATTCAGACGTTTTGTCTCGAAAAATTCATCTTCAATGTATTGGTCCAAATTTTTCTAAATTTTTTATTTAGGTTTCTATGTTTATTGAATTATTAAGTGTCGTTAGGCTCTGTGAAATCCACCTAGTTATTTAAACTATTACCATCATTCGTTACAATAAAACATTTTAATCCCGTGCTCATAGTTATTTCTAGGTTTCTCGAGTGCTCAAAATTCAATTTCACAGGGTCTAACGACACTTAGAGTGTACGATAATTCAATAAACATAGAAATCTAAATAAAAATTTTAGATTTTGGAAGGAGTACGTTGAAGATGAATTTTTCGAGACAAAACGTGTGAATTTGGTTCGGACTGAGGCAGTACAGTATTGGGGATCGTATTTAAAAAAATTAAGTTGATGATGGTACTGGGAAAACTAAACGTTACATATAAAAACTGATTATGCCATTCAATAGAGGGCAAAAAGTGGCCATTAGAAAGTGTTCTTCTTTTTTCAATATCACCTCAAACAAGGATTGAAATTAAACAAAAACGGATTGCCAAAATTTCGGTTTATTTCAAAAATTTCGAAAACAAATCATGTTGATTTTTTTAGAAGCATAATGTTGGTACCGTGATTACGCAACTTTGCCCTCATTTAATTGTAACAGCCTGTATATTTCGCGGTTGTTATTTGAGTTGCACTTGTATGATTTGTTACAAGGTCATCTAAACATTTTATTAAATGTCTGTTCTGTTTGACATCTTTTGATTTTTTGAAAAAAATGGATGTTTTTAAATTAATTTCATACCTTTGAAATAAAGCATTTTCTTAGATTCAGCTTTCAGCAAAAAATTAAACTGCAAATATAATTTAGCAGCAGCTAAAAATCTTTTATTTCAACTGACATCTTTTTTATTTAATGGAAATTTTTAGAATTAATTTGAATTAGCTTCATATATTTAAACTAACGTAAAAATATCTGTATATTTTTTAAATTTGAACATATTTTAATTTATAAAATATGAAAAGCGCCTTATGATTTTATGCTATGTCAAAAATTAAACAGAAAGGTTATTATTATCCTATAACACCCGTGATGCCTTTACCGTTGAATTTACTGCCAGTGTGTGTTATTTAATTCGATTTTTTATTGCACATAACTGGTACCTATGATATTTTTGACATTTAATCTGGTATTGATATTAACAAATCTTATTTTTTATTTTTATTATTGAACTAATATATTTTAAATTTGCCCTAGAGTATTTTATTTATCTTAAGATAGAATGATTATTGCAGACTAACTGTCTAATAGGACGATAGTTTACTATAAAATTATTGTAGGTTCTGCCAAACGTATTTTTTTTAACTAATATAAATCGACGAATAGTTCAGAAATTGTTAATTAAACTGCATAAAGTAAGAAATGTTTTTATTCGAATTAGATTCTCTACGCCTAACAATCGCAATAATCTCATATTTTAAGTAAATTCGCCTCGAAATTTATACCCTCGGTATGTAGATGGTTATAAAGTAGTTACATGTAACTTGAGTGTCTGCTTTTGTAATTACGAACTACTCACCGTATCAATAGCATCTCTAACGTCGAACGACGTGCATCCGAGAAATTCACTGGTTCTGAAACAAGAGAAATAAAAACAGTTACCAATTACCTCTCGAGCATATTGAAATGCGTATTGAATATATCGACAATTCGGGCATAGGGGCACAACAAAAAAATCAAAACCGTCAAGGGCTCTCGGTGACGACAATGCAGGGTATTAATTTGATATGCTAACCCCTAAGAGCGCTCCGTCATTAAGCCACCCCAGAGGACCATTATGTGCGACGGTGGGGGAGAGAAGGGCGGTAATTGACTAAATGGAATTTTTGACATTCCTATTTTAATACGCGAAGTAAAAATTCCTCTCGAAGGGATGAATTTTATGAAAAATGTCAATACGTTTCATTAAAAGTCAAAGATTTTCATTTAGAGTACAAATGCGTTGACAGTTATAAGAAACAGCGTTTATACTTTATATAAAAAAGTTCATGTATAGTACGTTTCATTATATTTTGCACGCCGTAGCTGTTACCTTTTGAAATAGGAAAAAACACAATTAGACTTACGTCTGTCTCTTAAGGAGGTATATCGGGGTCCGAGGGAAGTTAGGAGCGCAGGGGGGTCCTATGCTTTTCTTATGGGACTAAAACTCGCTACCGACTTGAAAAAATTAAATTCTATTGAAATTATTTGCAATAAACATTATCTATATAGCAAAGAAATCTACTGATATGCACATAGCATACATATTGACTAATTAACAACATAAAAATATCAAATTTAAGTAGTTTTAAATTATATTTAATGAACGCATAAAGACCATGTAGATGTGGCAACAGCGCTAATAATTGACTAGCAGTTGTGCAAACTGCGAACCTACAGACCTCGGACATCGAAGATATTGCGCGTCAAATGTTAAAAACTGTATTGTGTGTAAACTATGTACAATATAATTATTATATATAGCAAATATATCATATTATCCTCGCGAAGATGTGTATCCTTTATTTAAAATCCGTATATCATGTGAACTGGTAAACAACGAGAATTATGTTAATTTAGTTATAAAAAAATGAAATGACACTCGCGCCCATCTCTCGTCCAAGTCAAAGAAAATATTGGATGCAATTTTGAAGGTTCTGTGATAGAAATTACATTATTACTCACTGTTCGTGTTTTTCATCTCTATTTTAGTAATGTTACAAAAGTTTTGCAACTATACAAATTTTTTAGATATAAAATTTGCTGAGAAATATTTATGTTCCTTTGTATTCCGTACAAATGCTTTTATCTCAAGTATTACTAATTATATTAATCAAGTAAAGAAAACTTTATGTAACCCTAAATATTTCTGAATACTGTGTACTATCTATGGAAAAGTTTTGTTTCACAATTTCTACATTTTTTTCTCAGTTATGGGCAAAAAAAGAGCCGCACCGTCCCTCTTCGCCATATAAACTTATGTTAAAATGAACAACTTTCAACAACAATATCTCAAAATCTAGATTCAAAAAAAATTTCAAAAAAATATGACGCACAGAGGGAGCACTGGGTAATGCGCTATATAAATTTCTAGTACATCTGTGCATTTGCGTAAACCCGATATACTTCCTTAAGTTTTTCCACACGCCCATTTTTTTTTTGTAAATTTTGAACTTCTGCTACAACTTCGGTTATGGAAGAAGTTCTAGTAACAATAATAAATAATATATCAGTAATAATGTATAGTTACTTTATTATTTACAAAATTTAAAGAAAAAAATAAAGATATTTCCATAACCATCAAGAATCTTTATGTACTTTCTCATTAATAAGGTTGTTATGATTTTTAGTTCAGAATTTGCGTTAAAAAACCATTAATACACATGCCTAAACTTTCCCCACCTCACCTACTACAGACAATGCACCTTTGTAGCTAGCAATCCATCGACCACCCGCATTTCCACAGAAAAACATATGTTTCTATGTCTGTGTAGGTGACAATAGGCCGCAATCGAAACGGATGGAAGCTGATAGACACGTCAATCGGTATCAATGCCACTATTTACCACGAACCCTTACAGATCACGTCCATTAGCAAACATTATAGTGTTTGTTTGGTTGTTATTTTTCGTCTGCCCCGGGGCAAATATTGCGGGAATAAACTTAAACGATGAGGGTCGTTATATTGAGGCTCAAAACATTAAACTTGCTGTTATTTTCTGAAATAGTAAATAGTTGGATGCTTTTATGTACTGTTGTTTGATATAAGTCAATTCTTCTTATGCATGTATCAGAATTATCGCCACAATATCTAGTATGTGCTTTTCTACTTGAGCGGGATTTTGTTTTCGTTTAGGCGAGGAATAACACTACCATTATCTAGAGCACGTTGGAACACCACAACAAATGATAAACGTTTCTCTGACTGAAATTGTTACTTCTTATGGAGTACCTCAGGGTTCAGTTGTTGGTCTGCCATTATTCAGTATGTTTATTAATGATATTTATGACAATCTTCTAACTAATATGCTTTTATTTGCAGTGACTTTACACTGTTCACTTCTCCTACGTCTGTTGAAATTTGTATTGTACTCCAAAAACATCTGTCAAAAGTGAACGACTGGTGTTAGAACACTAAATTGTCATGGAACACATCAAAATGTTGTATTATAAAATACATAAGGAAAGTGGCTATTGTGAATGTACTTTGGGAAACAATAAAAACAACAAGATTAATCACAACAGAATTTCAGTTATGGAATCGACTCTGTTGATATTACATCTTCAAAATCTGCTGTGACCAACCAATTCGGTGAAGCAACGCTGCATCAGGAATTAATTTCCTCCTCGATCTCCCCGATTTCGACGGTTGGTAATCCGATTTCTCACAAACGAGGGCGTTGAATGTCATTAACTGGGTAACTGGTCTGTCTGCGTTCAGTTAACGAAATAACAAGCGAATCGGACATTATTTCTCTTTTATCTTCGAGTTTTCCGACCCCGATTTTATTTAATTTTCGTGAATCGAATTAACCCGCCCGCCAATGGTTGGTTGTTTGATTAAAATCGAAACGCAGCAGGTCCGCATGAAATGAGAAAATGAATCTCGATTTTTTCCTCAACGCTACAGCCGATAAATAACAATATACTCTTAGTGTTACGTCACATATTTAGGCAACCCCCAACAAATTGTCATAGTTGAAATTTAAAGAAATAACAGCCTTTGTACCAAAACCGTGCATTAAAAAAAAGCTACAACAGTTTCGATCAATTATTAAACAGCTTTTTTGCAGCGCATTTAAAACAGAGCAATCTTATATTTTTAACAGTGGTCCTCAAACTTTTTTTATTTGCAATATTCGCATATTAATTATACCTAATTGCCACTGAATTTGGTGCTGTAACTGCGCTTTTCTTTTTCAAATTCAGCATTTCTCTTAGCTTACAGTCATGATACCCAGGTAGATATAAAAATCCACCGATGTTTTAGGAAAAATCGGCAGAATCTGTTTCCGTTTCTTAAAATATATCAGTATCGTGTATTGGAAGTTCAGAATAAGAGGGGATGAAATTCGTGTTAAGGAAAGAGAGATACAAAGGTCCTTCGTTCAGCCATAAATTCCCGATAATCTATTTATCGGCAATCACTGGTGAAACGGAAGATTTACTCCCCCCATTTTTACGGACGGGTTAATTTCCCCGGTGGAACTTCTAAAAATATACATTGCTGCGTAATACCAGACATGCACCCCCTCGTAAATCAATTTCTTTGGATTTACGATCCCGTTCGAGCTTTTAGTTGCGAATCCATAATTAAAAGCTGCGAATTCTGGGTAATTTGCGGTATTTGTTCACGTTGAATGAATTTAAATAGTTACAAAGTGTGCTATGATTATTCTAAAATATAGTTTGTTTGAAACAATCTCTTAAGCGATGCAAATCTTTGGGAACCACTGAATTAACATTTGTAAAAAAATGTCGTTTGTCGGAAGCCGCATGTATATAAAAATTGAAATCTAGGTCGTAATATATATCGCGCCAACAGCGGTAATAAAATTTGACAAACTCATCCCTCCAGCCCATTTATTTTATAACCACAGTTTGGATCTCAATATAGGTCAGCTTTCCTCTGTATTTTATAACTATTACATAGATTTAGACTGCTGCCTTGTTTGCCTGTGGGTAATTGAAAACGAAAAGTTTGGGAACCGCCTATTTAATTTCAGAAATATTACCGATTTAAGTGAATAAAAGAATAGAACATTATTTAGCGTAAAATGACTTTAAAAAGCAATTTTTCATCAGAATTTAAATTATTCTCTGAAAATATACCCACAAATGGTCGCTATAAAATTCCTTGGCAAATTATATCGAAGCCATAAACGCTCTACGCGACTTCTTTCCGCAGCTATAATACGTATTACATTGACAGAGATTTCTTTAACTAGACGCTATCATAGTTGCCTGTGCTTTAAGGAGATATATCGAGTTTACTCAAATGCACAGATGTACTTGAAATTTATATAGCGTATTAGCCAGTGCTCCCTCTGTGCGTCATATTTTTTTTTAAATTTTTTTTTAATCTAGATTTTGAGATATTGTTGAAAGTTGTTCATTTTAACATAGGTTTATATGGCGAAGATGGACGGTGCGGCTCTTTTTTGCCCATAACTGAGAAAAAAATGTAGACATTGTGAAACAAAACTTTTCCATAGATAGTACACAGTATTATCTTACTTTTGATGTAAAACTAATGTAAGTTTTAAACATAGTACAGCTGTATTAATTAGAAACGGAAACCAATAATTGCATTTCTATCTGACTTGAGGATTAATGTGGTGAGATTAAAAACACGGACAGTGAGTAATAATGTAATTTCTATCACAGAACCTTCAAAATTGCATCCAACATTTTCTTTGACTTGGACGAGAGATGGGCGCAGGTGTCATTTCATTTCTTTAGAACTACATTAACATAATGCTCGTTGTTTTACCAGTTACATGATTTACGGATTTTAAATAAAGGATACAAATCTTTGCGAGGATAATACGATATATTTGCTTTATATAATAATTATATTGTACATAGTTTA